TGCTGTTTACTTGCATCTGGCCTTTAGCCGGCTTCACTCCAGCACCGTGTGTTCTTGGAGGGATCTGAACGGAGAATTTTCGGCCGGTGATGGAATTGTCGCCATCGAGAGAACAGTCTATCCAGGAAGACAACTTGACAATGACGTTTGTACTATGTCAAAAGGTCGGTGAGGAAGTGAGGAGAGGGCAAACCGGTGGCCTGTTCGTTGGTCCGCCCTTTGGTAACTAGAAAGTAGGCAACTTAGTCCCGTCGCTAACGGCGAAAGAGACAAGACAGACAGGTCTCCAAACCCTGATCTTAACCCACGCCAGACAGGAAGACAAAAAGACAGAGCGGCCAAACAGAGCGACTCCATTCCGCCGGGAGACAGGGCAGCCCTGTGGACTGGGACGTTTCCGTGGAGATTGTTGGCTGTGATTTGCCCACCCCCTAGGTTTCCCTCCCAGCCCCCCGGCCCTTCCCCCAAGGACTTGAGATGAGATGAGATGCATACATAGTTACGACTACGGAGTCTGAACACTTACATACATGAAGGTGGCCGGGGGTGACCCCCTCTCCCCTCCCCCAATTCCAAGGATGGAACGATGGACGATGACGTTTCGCCATCCCTGAGCCGATAAACGGGGTTGTTCGACGCGGGATAGAAGAAAAGGAGTCAGGCCATCCGTTTCTTTTCTTTCGTACGATATTTTTCTTTCTTTATTCCTTCCAGTAACCAAGGCAACTGGACGAGAGCAGACGCATGTGCATAATTACAGACATACTTACGATACATGGGCTACGCTACTCCGTACGCTACACTGATACATTCAAGCCCATCCGGCCGCCATCATGAATGGCAACCCTAGCGCGGGAGACGCATGGCGGCAGGCCGTCTATCCGAGCCAGAACGGTGATTCCTACCTATGATAGGTGGCGGGGAAGAAGGGTCGACGCCCTCCTGTTCTGCCCTGCCGTGTCTTGTCCTGGGGCGGGCGGGGAGGGGGGGTAATATAGTGACGGGAGCCGAAGGACGGTACGGTTTAATCAAAAAGGAGAACTGAAGATGACATGCGCATTTGAAGGAGTGTTCCAGCGAAGGTTCCGAAGGGGCTCGAGGAGTACTTGGAGGTACAATTACTTACCTGTGACGCGGGTTCCTCAGGGGTAAAAGTCAGAGAGTGAAGGCAGAGAAGTCAAAAAAGGTAAGGGGAAAGAAATTGAAAGATGGGTTCAATTTCGTTGGTGTTTCAAGGCGGTTGAACAGGAGCAACGAGATTGAAGAGCAAGACTCAGGACAAGCCTCATGGTGGGGATGGAGGGGTAGAGCAGAGCATGGTGATGATGATGATGATGAAGATACGAAACGAGAGGGGCTCCATTATTGGCTACCACTTGCAATATATCCGGTCTCCGTGTTATTTCTGCGAAATAAACCAAGCGGTGTCTGAATGCCGGGGATAGGGAGGTTTTTGGTCGATGGAGTCGGCCGCTGCGCGAATCCAGGAAATCGTTACAACACATGGCATGCCATAAACCATGGATTGCATGGCAGAAGACAGATCAAGCCAGTATCTCAAGTCAGCATCCCGCAGCCAAAACCTGATCACTGGACGGTACATCAACTACACTTAGCATAGAGTGTAATGTAAGGCTGAAGGGAAACTCCATCGCGCGGGAAGCCAATGAGAATACTGCGGCCTGCGGTCACTAAGTATACATACACACTCTCTACTTATCAGGAGCCCTGCCTGGGATCCCAACCACGAGTCCCAGCATCAGCAGCAAATTGTTCTTTTTATAACTGGCTGAGCCGGGCGCATCGCTCACACCCCCCCTGGCCGCCGCCGCCGCCAAAATGCCATGTGAGGTGTGAGTGGGAACTGGCAGCGACGGCTTTTAACGAGATCAGAAGACCCAGCAGCGCCTCTCCGAGCATGAGGATCAAGATCAGGATGCTAAACTAGGGTAACCTAACCAACTAACGAGTGAACTAAACTGGAGACTAGCAGGTTAGCCAAAAGGATGGAGTCGTCTGCTCGACCAAATCAGTGCGCTGCGATATCGCGCCATTCATGACAGAAGAAGACAAGGAGAGACAGAGAGAGAGACACAAGAAAGATGGTGATCATGAAGCCGAAAAGAAATCACATCACAGATCACAGCGCATGAAAAGAAAAGAAAGTCCGAGACATCGAATCATCTGGACAAGAGTTCTCCGTCGAGTTTTGATGGCTCAATGAAGTACGGAGTACGGAGTATGTAGATTAGATGGTAGTTGGCTGTTCAGCTTCATTTTTTTGATACTCAGCTTTCGATGCTCGTCGCCATCTATCTCAGCTCGATGTGGCTCAACTGCTCTGCATCGCCAGTGGCCGCCTTTAATATATACCACAGCAGTCAGCTCTCTGTGCGTGTATGTGCGTATATGCATGCTCGAGCCGGTGGCGGTTCTCCCCCTCATAGGCGGAGCAGTCGATGCGCCCAGTCCTGGTGAAAAAGCAAAGCCGTCGATGCGTCCTTGGCCGTGGTCACGGAGATGGGATGGGCAATTTCGCAACGTAGGAGGGTGAACGGCGATCCTTGATGTCGATGTCGATTCATTCTTCCTCACTACTCTAGTCCTTTTTTTTCGATGGGTTACGGAGTACTACTATTAGTCCAATGCACTCGGACGGGGGCGTCTTGTGCTTCGTGATGGCGATGGCCCTCGTAAGTAAGAGTGTATATACGGAGAGACCTGGTTAAACTGCAAATGGCGAGCGAAGAATGCTCCGTCCGGGTGGAGATGGGACAAAATTTCTTCTGAAGGGCGGAGAATAGCCGTGTCCATCCATCCATCCATCCCATCCATCACTCACGATGACGATGGTGATGGTGATGTCCGTCTGGATCGTGGGTGTATAAACAGTTTCACACATACTTACTCCCTGCATAGTAGTGTACCGAGTACCGACACATCCGAATAAAACCAGTTCGAATAAGTAAATAATACGCCTACAGTGAGGATTCCGTTCATAACTGGGTCTATCTAAAACTAGCTGATAGTTGATAGCTGGTTAAGGGTGGTTTATATATAAATATATCCCGTTCGCAGGAGATCGGCCGCCCCTCGACGCAAGAGACCGACCAACCGACTGCACCGCAACCGACGATGAAAAGCAAAGCAGAGACAAGAGACGAAGGAGACGAAGGAGAAGAAGAAGCAAAAAGAGGGAAGATGCCTGCATGCATGAGCCTGCTGCATCTGCAATGCATGGATCCCGGCCTATAGTTTACACCCTTCTTATAAAATTAAGACGAACCCGAGCAGCTAACTAAAACTCGCTAGTTCGGCCTAGGAAGCGCAGAAAAAGGGAACCCGAGCTCGAGAGAGAAAGAGAAAGGAAGAGAAAAAAGCAAGCTGATTCGATATCATATTTCCCCATGCACACAAGAGTGAGCGAGTAGTGTACTTTTCTGTGCATGCGCTGCAGCCTCCCTCTGCTCGGCGGAAGAAGAAGAGTTTTTTAGCACGGAGAGGAGCCCACGGTGGAGATGGAGAGAGGGAGAGAGAGTGAAGCAGGAAGACTTCGGATGCCCCGTTGTCGACGTCACTACGGAGTCTCTGCTGCTTGACTGGTGGCAGGTAGAAAGTCAATGAGAGAGACTCTGCTGGTAAGTAAGTAAGCAGTTACATATGTGACTATCAACAATCGCGGTGAGCTCAATTAATATCTAGACCAGACGTTGGAACGAGAATGCACCAATAAGCAGGGAAAGACGAGATGAAAAAGCAAGTCGACTGCACTGCACAGTCTGCACCTCTATCTACCTAGCAACATCCCTCCTTGACTGCTGCGCCTGTACATGCATATATAATAAGTATACTCCGTACAGGAAGGATGCAAGTATGGATGTTCTCTGCATGTGGCGCGTAGACTGAGCGGTGAAGAAGATGTGGATGTCGAATGTCGAATGTCGAGATCGAGGCCGATGGATGGAGATAACTAAAATAAAAAAGCCTGAAAATGAGGCTGTAGTGGGATGTCGGAGTCAGAATGGCTATGGAGTAAGGTAAGGCTGTCTATTGATTAGTCTATCCGCCTCAATTGATCTTGTCCTGCCCGTCATCGTTATCGTCATCGATGGTCCGATGGAGGGGTTGTCCTTCTGCGGGTGGAGATGAAAAGCGATGAAATTTTCTCTTGTGCAGCAGGCAGGGTGGGTAGGACGGCTTTTCGACCCTTTAACCGGAGAAGTGTACGGTAGAGAGATGGATATTATTTATTAGTTATAGTAGTATTATCGTGTTGTACCATGGGAAAGAGTACTCTCCATCTGGGTTATCTTATCGTCGTACATGAATTTACTCGTCTATGCTTGTCTGCCGGAAGACTATAAACGAGTACACTTTTGACTTCTCTGAAGTATATACTTATAAGCAAGTAGAGAGATGGCCGGGTCAAGCTGTCATTGGCCATCTGCAGGCAGGCGGACGGCAGTGAAACCGTCGTCAGTTAAGAAAGTAAGCAGGCAGACAGGATACAGATAGTTATGGCCGTGGTCGTGGTCATCAGGGGGAGGCAAGTCATGCTTTGTACCCGTACCGTAGACTTAAAGAGTCAGTCAAGAGACAGTCAAGAGGCAGTCAGAAGATGATACATAAAATGATACATAAGATGATCTGATCGAGCAGAGTTGAGAGGGAGTAAGGGGAGTCCCTTGTCCAGTCCACTTGCGAACTCACAGAGCCTCCGGACTGTCCATCTCCTCCGTCTCCATGTCGAAGCCAGAGTAACTCAGAGAAGACCAGCAGCATGTCCCAGGTAGCCACCAGCCACCAGCCGGAGAGCCCAGAGAGCCCAGAGAGCCAGAGAGAGGGGAGAAGAACGAGAGAGAAAAAGCAAGCAAAGCAGAAGAAGCAAAGAAAGACGCAGAAAAAGCAAGGAGAAAGAACTCAAACTAAGTAAACTCCTCTTTGCTTCTTCGTCTTCCTATGCTTTCTTTTTCTTCTTCGACTCAAGAGGGAAAAGAGATATGGGTTGCAGGTAAATACTCCGTAAGAGAGTGAACCGATCTCCATCCAGTGTTGATATCGAAGACAGCCATAGTACCGAGCACTGAGCAGAAGCATCACCACTACCTCTAGATCACCATCACTACCTCTAGCATCTCTATCAGTGTCTCTATCTTTATCAGCATCTCTATCTCTATCTATCTATCTATCTCTATCATGCAAATGTAACTATGTAAAAGGATCCCCCCTTTTTTGCCTTTCCTGCCTGTCACTTTTTCGCTGCTCTTTAACTGAGCGACCAATCAGAAGCCACAGCGGGCGCCCACGCCGAAAGAAGAAGAAGAAGAAGAAGAAGAAGATACAGCGATAGACAGTAGTAGACATTATTAGGGAGAAGGATAGGGATAAGGGGTTCTCTTCTCTTCTCTTCTTTTACTCTTCTTCTTCTTCTTCTCTTATTACATCTTCTCCTACTTACATCCTCTCTCTTTACATCTCCTCCTTGGTCTCTCGCCAGTTGAGAGTCACAGTCTCTCCTTTAACTGCCTGCTGTCTCTCTCAGGGGCTACTGGTCGACCGTTGGCAGAGTCAACAGTCCACGTTGGAGCAGCATCAGCCATCAGCCATCAGCCATCAGCTATCAGCCATCTCCAGGGAGTCTGCTCCTCCTCCTCCTCCTGGCTACTGCTATCACCATCACTAGGTGCCTGGCTGTCATCCTCTGCTCGCTCAGGGGGACCTGGTGACCATCCACAAAACCTGCACATGAAAACCACCAGCTGGTCCGCCATCTTTTTTTTTCTGCGAGTCCCCTTGAGCTGCTGAGAACCACCTTGTTGCCCTTCGCCACAGAGAGGGCCCTCCCCCCCGTAACATAACATATAACCGTCTGCTCCTCTTTGCTCCATCTCTCTCTCTCTCTCTCTTACTCTTCTTCTACTTCTCTGCTTCTCTACTTCTCTACTTCTGCTTTTATTCTACTCCTGTCCCCTGTTCTGTCGTGCTGTCGGCTGCGACTCGAATCTCAACTGGACCGGGAGCTCGCCACAAACATGCCTCGCTACTCCGCGATTTCCATATGAACCGTCCGCGAAGAAGCCTTGCCTGCTGCTGCTGCTTGAAGACACCATCAGCTGCAGTGTCCAGAGGCTCGCCATGGAGAAACTCAACACGGAGGACGGGCAGCTCTTCATCAAGGTACCGTTTTGCCATAACAACAAACAAACATGAAACCAGCTGCCCTCAAAAGGCGACAAACAAACAAAACAAATAAAAAGAAGAAGAAGAAGAAGAAGAAGAGAAGCTAACATTTCTGTAGAGTCTCGCCAGGTTCGTCCGTACGCACGAGAAGGCCCTCGCAAATGCGATGCAGATGAGGCGCCAGTCGAGGAGCGTCGACCTCTCCTCGTCCCAGTCAAACTCTGCCGCAGCGTCTTCCTCGACCGGCCACAACACTTCTTCCTCCTCCTCCCACAACAACCACAACCACAGCCACAACCACAATCACAATCGCAACCACAGTCAACACTCCCGCCAGCAGAGCCATGGAGTCCCTGGACGCTCCTCGACTGCCTCTGCGCTCGCTGCTGCGCTCTCCCTGGGGACACTCGGCCTCACCTCTGACTCTGTCCGGCCTGCCAGACTGACCCTGACCCCCCACCACCTCTTCTACCTGCTCTCCCGCTTCGAGGAGCTCTCCGTGCCCGTGGGACCGCTTAACATCCGCCTCGAGAACATCAACAATGAGACCTCCTCTGCCTACGTCTCCTTTCTCAGCAAGCCGCAGCGGCCCCGTGGCAGCGCACCAGGCGGCGGCGGAGGAGACAGGGACTCGATTCACTCCGTCTCCAGCGTCCGCAGCGTCATGTCCACCATGAGCTCGTTCTGGTCCTCCTTTGGCCTCGGATCGTTCACCTCCCGGGACTCGGTCTCAAAGTCGGAAAAGGCCAAGGCTGCCCTGGAAGCAGACCTCAAATACCTCTATTCCTCCTTCACCAAGATCCCCTGCCTCAGGCTCGCGCCAGACCACCGTGCCAGACTCATCAGCGGATACGAGGAGTTCCCCTTTGATACTGCGGTTCCCTTGCATTCCTTCAAGAACCTCTCGGCCCTGGAGATCATCGACGTAGACTTTCGCTCCTTTTTTGGTTGGGACAGGCTCGCCGAGCAGCTCAGGTCGCTTACGCTCAAGCGCGCCCAGCTAGAGGATATCGGTGACTTGCTGACGGGGATCGTGCTCGATGACATTGACAAGCGGAGGCGCAGGTCGTCCAAATCTCAGCCTTCTCCTGTCCTTGGTTGGCCGTCTAGTAGTAGCCATAGTCATAGTCATAGCCATAGCCACCACAACCAGCACCAGCACCACCAGCACCACCACTACTCTTCCACCGCCCCGGAGCTGGGAAAGTCTCTGTCTGCCCCTGGATCTCCCGTGGCCGAACCTGACTTTGGAACCAGCGCCAGTCCCAAGGGCGGCACGGCCATGCTCAGAGGTGACTCGTCTGAAGGTGGTGCCGGTGTCGGTGTCAGAAAGAAACACGGCCGTGCTGGCAGTACCTCTCCGGGTGGCAGGCCTACCAGCGCCAGCAAGCCTGGATCCAGCCACCGTCATCACCACCACCACCACCACAACCATCACAACCACGGTCATGGTCATCATCGAGGACAGTCCTCCAAGATGAAACGATCTGGCTCAGGTAGCTCGGACTCCAGCGAGTCCTTTTCCACTTTCTTCCCCCGTGGTGACCGTGGCATCTCCAACATGATGGCCTCCACCTCCACTGCTGCATCCGCCAGCAACAATAGCAACTACAATAACCACACATACCTGAGCCCCTTTAAGTGGCGGTTCCTCAGGCACCTCAACCTCACGGATAACTCCCTGACCAGCGTCAGCGTAGCCAGTCTCGCTCCCGTAGCAAATACCTTGCACTCCCTTGACCTCTCCTGGAACCTCTTCACTGAGGTGCCAGACAGCCTCGCCTCGCTCGTGGCTCTCAGATCTCTAAATCTATCCCACTGCATGATAGATTCGCTGCACTCTCTCTCCCGCAGCCCCTTGCCAGCCATAACCTCTCTGAATCTCCGTGGCAACAGGCTTCGCTCGATAGCCGGTGTTGAACGCCTGCTCTCGCTCGAACGTCTGGATCTGCGTGACAACGCCATCACGGATCCCGTCGAATTGGCCCGGCTGACTGCCATCCCTTATATCCGCGAGATCTGGATATCCGGGAATCCCTTTACCAAATCTCACTCTGGACACCGGGTTACCATCTTCAACTTGTTTAGGCAGACGCCTGGATACCCCGAGGATATCTTTATTGATAACACGGGCCCGTCTTATTCGGAGAGAAAGCAGTTGGTTGAGCGAGTTGCAGAGCCTGAAGCAGCCCCTGTCATTCGAAAGTTTGAACAGAAGGCTGATTCCAAGGCTGAGGCCGTATCAGTTACCGTGTCGACTTCTGGTGCTGGTGCTACTACTAGCACTACTACTACTACCGTGGACCAGGAGCTACTCTCGCCAGAGGCGCATGTTGTTAAGCCTCGCGTCCCATCGACGTCGGCAAACGCAGGGGTTGATGTGACTTCCCCTCGTCGCAAGAAGCATCATAGAAAGCGAGTTGTTGGTGTCAGCGCCAATGACACAGCTGCCGTGCATGCTGCTCCTGTGACTACCTTGCCTGTCCAGCCAGAGACAAAGTTCCCCGACGGTTCCGTGGTCAGAAGTCAACCCGTGCCTGACCCGTTCATTGACAATCCAAAGTCAAAGTCAAAGTCAAAGCCACGAGAGACGATGCTGCAACAGCAGCAGCGGGAAGAGCTGCCGGTGTCTCCAACCACCGTGCGCCCCGTCACTCCAGTTCCTGCTGCCAGGACCCCCACTCCTGCAACTCCTGCAACAGACGACTCTCCAAAGGCGGGCACAACAACTTCTATATCCACGACCACTACAACGACTGAAGTAGAGACGCCCAAAAGCCGGACCCCTTTTCCTGGCCTCGACAACATCGACTGGGACGTCAGCGGTGACCTGTACCGCCAACGCCTCGAAGCCCTCAAGCATGAAGTCGGGACCAACTGGCTGACCGTGCTCGGTGATGACAACTTGGGCTGGACGACGACCAACACCACCAAGAACATCAACCTGCATCCGCAGACCCCTGAATTCCACCACTCACCCGCAGCTCCAATAAGACCTCCGCCCCCGATGGCTCGAACAAGCAGCCAGATCATCGTAACTGGTGGTCGGGCACTTGGTTGATCACACTCTTAACCAAATACTTCTACTCTCAACAAATATACCCCAGGAAAGAAAACAAACACAACAACAATAACAACAACAACAACATACATATCAAAGCATATACTGTATTAATCTTAATCACTCGCACACACACACAAAATTGGGAGGCATACGAATCTTTTTTCATTTTATGCGAATATCAAACCAGACAAGTACCAGCCGTCTGTGTCCACGGGCGAAATTCAAACAAACCCCAGAACCTCCAAACTATCTCCAGCCGATCTACCTCTACCTCTCTACTCCACCTCCTATCCTATATATTCACGGTTTTCCCTTATCTTTCTCGGATATAGAAAAGCGTTTCTTTTCCCCCTCTTATTATTTTTCCTATTTACTTTCTCTCCCTATCTACCCGGAGAGAAACTAGGATGACGAATGAACGGATCGAAGAAAAAGTTACTGCTGTTTTTGTTTGCTTGATATGCTCGAAGCCAGTCGAGGAGCTCCTTTTTTTTTTCAGACACTTTTTTTTTCCTATTTGCTCAGGGACGAGTGAACCCCCCCTCGTTGACTGACCGACTGACAGACTGATCGACTGACTTGATATTGATCAATCTCTTCTCTTGTTCCTTGCTCTCACTCTCGAATGACGGATGGATGCTTGCTCTACTGTCTATTTCTTGCCTCCTTTTTTCTTTTTGCTTTATACCACTTGGGTTTTCTTCTTTCTTCTTTCCTCTTTTCCTGCTTTGCTTTTGCTTCGGATGCATGTTCACGTTCACGTTTATCGGAGTTCAGGCTGCTTCTTCTTCTTTCCTTTCCTTTCCTCAAGACCAAGAATCAAGACTGTGTTTGGTTTATACATCTCCCCCTTCTGCGCGCGGCCTGCCTAATACCTTTTCTGTCTGCTTCAATCCCTTGCTTTGCTGCGTTTCACTCTTGCTTCCTTTTTTTTCCTTGCACCGCACAAACTAATGATGACTTGACGCTGAGCTGCTGCCCCTGCCTAACTACCTTAACGCACTCTTACAGTCGGGCATGTCGGAGGAGGTATACCGAATATCCCTAGATATCACATCTATCCCCCCCACCCCCTTTTAGACCGATTGTACATTACTCTCTCCCCTGGGCGGCATTTTTGTCCTTTTTCTTTCTTTTCTCTTTCTGATCTGGCGTTTGCATAGCGTGGTTTTTAACTTCTTCTTCTTCTTCTTCTTCCTCTTCGTCCTTTCTTTCACGCTCTTCTGGCTGGCTTCTCTCGTCTTCTCTGGATGTCTCGTTCTTGCTTAGCTGTTGGGCTCAAGAAGAAAATAAAAAATAACTTGCTTTGTTGATCGTCGAGTAAACACGTAAATCCATCTATCAGTAAATATCACATCCGTAGAAATAAAGCATAAGCAGTAGATATCTCATGATATTAATATTATGATGTTATGCTGTTGTTGATGTTGATATTGATGTTGTTGTTGTGCTTTTTTAGCCCCAAAAACCTGCCTTGCCTGGTCCCGCGCTCGCCTTTTCCCGGCTTTTCTCGCCCTCCCTTTTTTTTTTCTTTCTTCTTCTTCTTCTTCCCTTCAACCACCGCCAGCCCAAACAAACCACCAGCCCCAGCGCCGCTCCAGCAACCGCCCTCTCTCTCTCTCAACTCAACTCAACTCAACTCAACCAGCCCCAGCAGTCGACCATCTCGCATCTCCCAGCCATCCACTCAACGGCTCTCTCCAGTCAGAGAAGAAAGAAAGAAAAACCCCCTGCTCGCGCTACTTCACGCCACTTCTTTCGCTCCGATTGCGCGTTTCGTCGAAAATTTTCAACCCGCACACGAGAACGACGCACGCATCTACTACGATCGATCGGATCGAGAGCCCATCTAACTAACCACCGACCACAAACAAACCAGCCTTAAGACAGGCGAATCCTTGACCTTGCCTGGCTCGCTCGCAGCTTGTGTGTTGGTATCAACTTGTCTTCCCTTGCTCGCTTTCCGTGTGCTGCTGCTGCTGCTGCTGCTGCTGCTGCTGGCATCCCATTCACTCCAAAAGACTCACCCAACGAGGCGCCGGTGTCGAGTCCCTTGTCCCGTCTACGCAGACCAAGAACGGGCCAAACGGTGATTTTAAACGAAGATAATAAAAAATAACAAGCCAGGCGGGATAGCTTTTCTTCTTTCAGCTGCTTGATATTCGTCTCCTTCTTCTACTTCCTCGTGGTTGTTACACGTCTTGTGTCTGCATCTACTTCTGCGTCTACCCGCTTCCCCAACCCTGCCTGGCCATCAGGGCCTGACCTCTTTTTCTTCTTCTACTACTACTTCTACTTCTTCTACTACTACTCTTATCACTGTCCTTCGTCTTTCGTCCGTCAACTTTCTCAGTGTCGGCGGCAGCTCGTCTACGTTTTGACCCTAGCCGGTCCCAAGGTTGGTTCTGCTCCATCTTTCTTAACCGGTTCTGCCATGCTTGAAACGGCTTTTCCATTTTTTTCCCTCCCGTCGTGCATCTCCAGCTAATCATTATTAATCATTTCTTCTCAGCATCCCGACAGCAAGAGGCAACAGATAACAAGAGCCTTCTCTTCTCTTCTGGCCTCTTCGCGCCTTGCCTGACCCCCTTCGACCCATAGACCACTGCTGGCTGACGCGACGTGACTACTTTTTGCTGTCCTCGTGGGAGGTTTTTTCCTGTCTTATATTTCTCCCTNTTTTTTTTTTTTTCTTCCTTTTTTTTTTTTTCTTCTTCTTTTTCTCTCTCCCTTGCACTGGTAGCCACCCCACGCACACCCACACACGATGGCGGACCAGAACGAGATCGATTTGGATTCGATCATTGATAGACTGTTGGAGGTGAGGGGCAGTCGTCCCGGAAAGCAGGTCCAGCTGCTCGAGTCCGAGATCCGCCATCTTTGCACCAAGGCTAGAGAGATCTTCATTTCGCAGCCTATACTTTTGGAGTTGGAGGCCCCGATAAAGGTATGTTGAACCGTATAAGAGTCGACGAAAGAGAGAACAGAAAGAGGGAAAAAAAAAACTAACTCGCGCAAGATATGCGGTGATATTCATGGCCAGTACTACGATCTCTTGCGCCTGTTCGAGTACGGAGGTTTCCCGCCGGAAGCCAACTACCTCTTCCTAGGCGACTACGTAGACCGAGGCAAGCAGTCTCTCGAGACCATCTGTCTACTCCTCGCATACAAGATCAAATACCCAGAGAACTTCTTCGTGCTCCGCGGCAACCACGAGTGCGCTTCCATCAACCGTATCTACGGCTTCTACGACGAGTGCAAGCGAAGATACAACATCAAGCTCTGGAAGACCTTTACCGACTGCTTCAACTGCCTCCCAATTGCCGCCATCATCGACGAGAAGATCTTCACCATGCACGGTGGTCTCAGTCCCGACCTCAACTCCATGGAACAGATTCGCCGTGTCATGCGTCCAACAGATGTAAGTCCCTCCCCCTTGTTCGTGTGACAATTGAACTGATACGCGTCCATTTTCGGATGCCCGGAGGACGGTCTCTTCATTCTTTTTATTCCCTGTCCCTTTGCCATTTCCCCGGGAATTCCCTCTCTTCCCTTTTTGGGATACAAGCTTGATTATTTATTACTCTCTTTTATGCATGGCGTCAGTTTGAGCTGTCGACGATTGACTCTACTGATCTATTTAGATTCCTGACTGCGGTCTCCTCTGCGATCTCCTCTGGTCTGATCCTGACAAGGACATCACCGGCTGGAGCGAAAACGATCGAGGTGTATCCTTCACATTCGGCCCCGACGTCGTCTCGCGGTTCTTGCAGAAGCATGACATGGACCTCATCTGTCGAGCACATCAGGTAGTCGAGGATGGCTACGAGTTCTTCTCCAAGCGGCAGCTGGTCACGCTCTTCAGCGCACCAAACTACTGCGGAGAATTCGACAATGCCGGAGCTATGATGAGTGTAGACGAGAGCCTTCTCTGTTCATTCCAGGTATGCTCTCTGCTCTCCTCTCCACTCACTGTAACTGGACAATTTTTTTTTTCTTTTCTTTTCCTGACGCTAACCTTTTCTCACACCTGTAGATCCTGAAACCAGCCGAAAAGAAACAAAAGTACGTCTACGGAGGCATGGCACCTAACAGACCCATCACTCCTCCAAGGAAGCAGAAGAAAAAGTAAACAAGAGAAAATATACGAGCTTTCCCTCATATAGCAGGTTCGGGCGGAGATAATACGCGCCATCTTCATCATCACCAACCACCACCACTCGATTGAACCGACCACCATACCCTCCGTACCATTCTACCACCGGCGCACACTCACACACACTCACACACTCACACCACTGCATTCTCAACAACCAATTCATTGCATATCCGTATATGTACACGCCGCCAAGACACATTTCGCTCATGTAGGCGAACCATCAGCATCCGGCCTGATCTCGCGTCCGATTGATTGTCAGAATCTACGCCACCGACAAATACCTCTTTCTCTTCCCTCCCCCGCCTCTCCCAATCCCATCCGACCGAGCTAGAACGAGACCAGCTCAGACCGCACCAGCGCCGATTGGCCTCATCTTCATTCAGCTTCACCTCTTCTTCTTTTTTGCTTTCCCGACCTACTTACTTTCTTCTTCTCTTCTACTTTTTTTTTTTTTTTTTGTGCCTACAATATATCTTCCGTGTACGATTTGTATGAAGCGCTGCAGTGAACGGAACGGAACTCTACGTACTTTTACCCTGACGACTACCCACCGACCGATCCCTTTTCTTGCTCTGTGGTTTTTCCTCCCCCCTCGTCCCTCCCAGGCAGGTGGTGGCATGGCATGGCATGGCATGGCAACTTAATGACATCTCTGATTTTTTTATCTCCTTGAGGTGGCTTAAGGAAAGAAGTTGGTAGTTATCGGCTCCAGTATATCAGTAGCTAGTAGCGTGGATAATTCACTTCTTCTCTTGCTGCTCTCTGCTTTGCTTGCTAGGCCCCCCTACCTTTTTCCCCTCTTCCTCTTCCCCTTCCCAGTTCCTTTTACACCAGTTGCTCTGCATCTTTTCCAAACGGCGTCGACGTCGATATTTCATTTCCCTACCTACCTACCTACCTACCTACCTACCCCCTTCTTACCTGGTTTTCCACTTTACTTGCTCGCTCGTTCTTGGTTGGAGAAAAGGCATAGCCGGGAGTGGTGTGATGTGTGTCCCCTTTCCCGTTTTTTTGTATCTCCTTGCTCACTTTCAATATGTTATACCTGTCTCCTGTCTACTGTTGTGTTGTTGTCTAATGATCCCATCGAATAATATACATTTGACCCGTCTTCAACTTATCTTCCTTACGTAGCAGATCATTATATCTGTCCAAACCAATCTGGCTTGAGGTTTGCTTTATGAAAGTGTATAAGAGAGCCGCGAGCCTATTTATATGTAGCTATGTCTTTGAACACGAGAGAAGGAATCCAAGTAGAAAAAGGATAGATAGAAAATAAAAGAGAAATAAAATAAATCGTCAAAAGAAGCTATGATTTGCTGGATGGATTCATAATAGGTAGAGAATTAATTAGAGACATTGGACGGGGTCGGGGGATAAAGGACTGGGTGTGTGTGTTGTAGTGAGAAGGGAGTCCGGCCAAGTGAGTGAGTGAGTGAGTTGAGTGGGCAGGCGGGTGATTAGGCGCACCTACGTACTCGCTCACCGTCGTTCATGCTCTGGTGAAGTAAGTTGCTAGCATGATATAACAAGAAAATAAAAGGAGAATACATGCATCGACGGTTCATTCCCATTTTAGATAAGCGTAGTCAGTTGTGGTGTAGTCAGTGGTGGTGTTGTTGTTGTTGTTGTGAAGCTGGTTTGCGACATTTAGACGTATTGCGACATCCATCGGATACCTTCACCGTAGCCTAAATATTCCCGAACAAGGTCCTTAGCATTGGCCCAAGCTTCGTAGCGTTTAACCGAGTGGTGTGTGGGTAGGCAGATCATGAACTTACCCTGTCTCATCACGACACTGCACATAAACAGCTCGATGGGCCTGATTCCCTCCAACGGCACCTTACCCTTGCCAGTGGTCTGATACAGACCCAGAGCGGCTCTGAGCTGGTCCTCGGAGACAGCGGAGGGATGGTCGATTTTATTTCCGAGAACGAGGAACGGGACCTTGGCTAGATCTTCCATGTTGAGAAGAGCATCGAGCTCGGCTTTGGCTTCGGGGAAACGCTCCACGTCCATCGAATCGACTAGGAAGACGATGCCGTTGACTTCGGGGAAGTAGTCTCTCCACAGGCGACGGGCCTGCAAGTGACCGCCCAAATCGAAGGTGGTGAATCTGTTGTTGCCGATAGCCAGCTCTTCAGAGGCTGTTTTACGTAGTATGGCGTTAGCTTGGTGGTTTTATTGCAGTCTACTTATATGTAGTGTGAGCGAGGGTTGAGAAAAAAACGCACTTGGGTGTGAGGTAGGCTGCATGAGAGCAACCCGGTCGTTCTTCAACATGTGCAGAAGAGTGGTCTTTCCGGCATTATCGAGGCCGAGGAACAGTAGTTTGGCATGCTTGTTGAGCAGGCCGAGCGAGGCGAGGACATCGTAGACTAGAATCCGTCGAGGGATTTAAAATGTTAGCCTTCTCGAGTCTACGTGTTCACAGGTTTTTGACAGGTTGCATGCGCTTCGGTGTGCCGCGGGGCCTCATGAAAACAAGGAAAGATATAACGGGGTTTAAAAAGGCTCAAAATGCAAGACAGAGTACATACACCAGTTGATAATCCACATGGTGGGCTGCGGGAAGCTCTCTCAGTGTGAGGTAGAAGTAGTATTGAATGCCTTTGTGCGTGAGAGTGGAAGGGTGAAGGGCGAAGAAAAATAGGAAGCTTCCTGGCGTGGAGGCGTGTGTCTGCTCTGTTCTTACAGCAGTAGCTGGGCCAGCGGACGTCCCTTGAGCGGCGGCAGTGAGGTGTCAGTTGAGTGGAGCGTGTTGCAATGCTATAGGGGTGCGGTGGTGTGCGGTGCGAGATGCGCGAAGCTGCTGCAGGGAAGAAACTCGAGGTTGGATTGTTTCTTTTTGGTCTTTTGGTAGTTTACGGCAGAGGTGTTAAGAAAAAGGCCTGGTCACGTGGAGGCGCTATAACCTAACAACCACGTCAAATAATATTATACTCTAGCTTTAAAGATCTTCTATTTAGCCTTACATTCTTCGAATTCATAGTATTCACCTATGATTAGAAGAAGCTTAGAGGAGACTTTTTTCTCTAAGAAATTAATAGGACGTGATTAACCATCTGTTTGAGTCCACAGAAGAAATCCAAATTTTTGATAATTAGTGGCCATGTAGGAAATTATTATCAGAGAATAAACACGCGACTTCTTGATTGCAAAGATGCCCAAACCTTACGTTGAGTGCCATTCCTCATTGCAGATTATGGAGACGGTATTCGTACATTGCTTATATCACAGAGGGTCACCCATGAGCATCTTAATCTAAATATCTTAATTTCTCTATTTCAGTGTATTTGTGACCTTCGTAGTAGATATCTGTGTGGTATAAGCTTAGTTGATTTGTTGTTTGACAAGTCGACAAGAGTCAAGCTGTCTTCTTGAGACAGGTGCTGATTAATTACATGTTGACTTAAGAGGGTAAGAACCATGATGAAGGTAATAGCATTGCGACATTAATAAGGGAGCAAGCTTTTGTTTATGAAGAGTGGGAGGAAGGGCATGACCGATTGCTTTTTTGGGTACATAGGTGTAGGTAAATTCAGGAGGGAGGGGGCTAGGCTGGAGTAAAACCCATAAACCTAATAGGCCCGTCTGCCATTCTGCGGAAGTTCGTAATAGAGAGATTATATGTATCTGCCGGGTTTCTATTAGGAAAGATGCAACTGCCAAAGAGTTGCCTTCTTGATATGGGAATCACCTGGTTTGTATTATTTGCTGGTGCAGGAAAGATTTCCTGGTACTTATTAGTGGCTGTAAAATATATTCTTAAATTAAATATAGCAGTCACATACCTCAGTCCGTAATAAGACAACATTCCCAGCAAGATCCCTTCCATGAACGTGCAAATCTCCTTTTACACGGCCATTACTTATCTTGGTCCATCGAATTAACAACACTAGCTCAACAGCTGTGCCTCCGACAAGCCAAAGATCCCTATCAGCCTCCAACCGTGGCCAAGACTCTGACCAGCATGACTCGACAGCAACAGTTGGCAGAGGCAATGAGTCAGGAAGGATACACGCATCAGGCTCTTTTACAGCGGAGGTATATGGTGCCGCAAAACCAGCTAAAGCTAATAAGAGAATGTCAATCAAATCGAACTTCAAAAAGGAAAGAAAGGTGAAATAAAAGCTGAATAGGTGCATCATACTCGTTCCAACGCGGAGTCTCAGTTCCTCTCTTTCTGCTACCGTCAAGAATCCAGCCATAACCATATCGAGCAGCTCGTTTGAAAGCCACTCTTGGTGGCAGTCTTGGACTGTAGTCGGCATAACTCGAGCAGTCAGAACTTTAGTTAAAGGGTTATACGAAATGCTAGAATAATGTTTAGAAGCTGTTTCAAATCTTCTTGTGGTGGCTGGTTTTGGTAACGTACCGAGGAAGGGCCCTTTCAATCTCGGGATCCTCTGAAAATGATGTTGCAATTTGGAATCCGGCAGAAGGAGAAATATTTTGGAAAGTCAGATCAGTAGAGTGGTTTGTGTTTAAAATCTCATTTCGAATGTTGTTGAACAACTTCTGAGCAGACGGTTCTTCGGCTGGAAGGTTTGTGTTGCTCCGTAGAGAGCGCGTTGGGCCGGTGACGCTACTCATTGTTGTCAGATACTCAATAGAGATCGGTCTATCTGCACAAGAAACCGTATTTGTTCGAACACTCCTAAGAGAATAGAACTGGAGGATGATATCGTGATGCTGGAGCCTATATCTTCGTGGTTGTTGCAAACGTCCATACTATCTTATCTGTTATGCTGATGAGTAGTACAGGGTAACTAGCTAATAGAAGCCTGCTGTTGACCGAGGGCAAACGTCGTGAGTAAGAAAATAAAGATCAAAGGTGAAGGACTTAGTAAAGGGCTGGTATTTGGCTGCAGTAGACATAGTTTTTCTATGTTTTGCACAGGATGTAGTTCTAATATAGAGGACATGGAAGGTTTGATATCACGTCATCATGCAGAGGTGTTAAGAAAAAGGCATGGTCACGTGGGGGCGCTATAACCTAACAACCACGTCAAGGCAAAATGACGGAGGCTACCTTTGGGGCGACGGAAGGGAAAGTCGATGATGACAGATGGCAGATGGCGAGTGGCAGACACGGAGCAGGTACTTGTTGATTTATTGATTTGGTTCATTTCATTCAGTCGTTATCATGGCATAAGATGTAGTATCAGCAATAGCATAGAAAGGAGACCCCCTCCCCGGCCTAATCTAGTATGAAAGATGCAATTTAAAACAGAGGACCAACCCCAGCTGGGAGGATTCAACTCCAGAGTCTCAGGTACAATGAGCGAAAAGGACTAAAGGACAGATATAGGTATGTACAGAGGGAAAGGATAGAGAAGAAGGTCGAACAGGGTGAGACACATAAGAGTATGAAAGAAAAAGTAGAAGCAAAAGGAGGAATGGAAATAGTTAGAGTTAAAAAGATAAAAATATTGACATGAAGAAGGATAGAAAGAAGAAGAAAGGGAAGAAAAAAGGGAAATGAAAAAGGATAAACAAATGCTAGCTGAAACAGTCAAGCCAAGTCAAGTCAAGCCAGGATATCATGAAGCTGTATTCACTGCGATCTGCGCAATAGGAAAAATAATCAAGCATCCAGCATGGAGTATAAATAGAATATGAAATAGTCAAAGGGAAAGGTAAGAAGAAATCAATTCTTGTCTTCGAGGAAGAGAGGATAGAGAGGGAAATAAAAAAGGACAAAAGGGGAACACCTCTTAACTTTGGTAGGTCGTTAATAGTTCGTTTGTCTACGCCCGTGCCAGTGGCGTGACGTAGTGTGGGTAGTAGCGAGTTAATAGCGAGATAGATAGAATGTTGAGGTGTTTATATCGAAAGGACGAGCTTTGGTCCGTTTCCACCGTTGACGCCGACACCGTAGGCTCTGAATCTCTCCGCGACTTCGATGCCAAGTTCCTTCATACGCTCTGCGCCTCGGCCAGGGACCATCTTTTCACGGGAGTGGATTTGGTCCTTTGCGGCACGGCGGCAGTGTTGACGCCAGAACTTTTCTTTCCGCTTTTGTCTCTTCTTCTCGAGACCGGCAACGATGTCGATTGGTCCTCGGGTGTGAGTAGGACTGGATTTGGTTTTGGTAGATGCCTTTTGGCCGGGAGATGGAGAGCGGGAGGTGCGTTTGTAGATGTTGGAGGAGTAGCCACGGGCAAAGAAAGGGTTAGGAGTTCGCGGAAGAGAAGAAGTTCGGGTGCGGTTTGGTCGTTGAGCAAGAGCAACAGCTATTTTCTTTGCCGTAGGACCTGCACCTAGATTCGGAGGATTGATGAGAGATGTGCGGCGAGAGGGAGGCGGAGAGCGTAGTCGACCAGGTGGTGGAGGGGAGCGGAGGCGACGAGGAGAGTGCCCAAACAGTCTGCGAGGAGAGTGTGCTGCTGCCTTCGATGACTTCTCGATGGTGGTTCGGCTAGATCGACGTCCACGAGGGGGCTCGACAGCATCGTCGTCGTCAGCCTTTTGCTTACGAGCAGCAGTTGGGTTGGCAGACACATCATCGTCTGCATCTTCATCGTCTTCGTCCTCGATGTCAGAGGTAGGAAAGCTGGGATCGATGTCCTGAGGGATGGGAATGTGTTTCTGGCGTCGACGCTCTTCCATTCGAGAGATGTAGGCGACTTCAATAGACCTGTCTTCATCCAGGGTGCCACAGACAAAGTCAGTGCTATCAGGAAGGCTGGGAGCTGTAGGCTTCGACTTCTTCTCCTTGACCGCAGCAGCACGCTTCGGCTCGAATGGAGGAACCGTGTCTAGCGGACCGGGGCTAGCGAGAGACTCGATGGATCCGTGAGACTCCTTCCATTTCATCGGCGGTGGCATGATAGTGATATCGGAGTGCGAGGTGGCTGCTGTAGTAGTGGGAGTCCAGAATGCGTAGTCCGATTCCCCGTCATCGTCGTCCGAGGAGCCAAATCCTGCTTCATTGTCTGTCTCATTGCCATCGTCAGACAAGTCTTGGTTCCCATCGTCTTCATCGTCTTCATCCTCATCCTCCTCATCATCATCCTCGTCGTCGTCCTCCTCCTCATCATCATCATCATTGTTCTCATCGTCATCGTCGTCGTTCTCGTCATCGTCCTCATCATTCTCAGCCTCCTCAGCCTCTTCCTGTGCCTCAGCCTCAACTTCCTCACCCAGCTTGCGGATAACATTCTCTTTCCGCATACAATCGTCCACAGTCATCTTATGCTTGTAATCAGACGATTCGTTTAGCCAATCTTCGTCTTCCAGAGAGCTCCCAAATTCCTGGAAACGGGTGGCGTCCGATAACTCAAACTTTCCGAGCCCAGTCACCTTCAACGAACCAGTCGCGGGTGCAGGTTCAGTAGGTTTAATTCCCGGTATTTGGGATACTTCGAGGGATCTGGCCTGGTACCTGGATTGTAAACTCATTGGCGCAGGCGATCGGCTTCCACGAATACCAGCAGAAGGTTTGCTTGGAGAGTGTTTCTGGTTCTTGATATCAACATCGGTGTCCCGGGGTCTGGCTGGACATGCAAACTTGATGGTCGATTTGCGCTTAGGAGGATCGGCAGCCACGGGATCGCTCTGGGTATGGTCGACAGGGTCAATCTTGTTGGCACAGGCAAAGGTAATGCATCGCTTGCGGCCCAGGTTAGCTTCCAGCTTCAACTCATGTTCATCGACGGGAGAGACGGGTTTGGAAGGTGGCTCAGCTGCCACCCACGGAGGACGTGTGAATTGTGTTGGAGGAGGCGGTGAAGGAGTAGTCGATCGAGGAGGAGTGGTCAGTTCACCGTCACTGGTGAGTTCGGCTGTCGAAGGACCGCTATGGCTAGGGTTGATAGAGAATGCAGGTACGCTTCTCCAAGTAATGCCCGAGGCTGCACGGTCGGTCGGGGAGAGCTCAGGGCTGCTGAGCAGGGCTCGAGTGAGGAGTGACTCCTTTGTGACTTTGGGTCTGGAGTTGCTGATGCTGACAGTGGTCTTGTTGCTAGAGGTCGGAGCGTGTTCGTGGGAGTGGGATCGGACGGTGCTAACACGGGCTCGACACCCTGGAGGCTCGTCACACTCTGCAGCGGCCTCTTCTTCGTCGGTTGGCGCCATGTTTGGCGTCTGTGATATGATAGGCATGGTGGTGTCTGTCTTTCTTCTTCTTTTTCTTCGAGAAAGAAGTAAAAAAGGGGAGAAGAATATGATTGCGAGTTCAAAAATCAAAAAGCCAACGTAAGGAGAAAAAAGTAGTAGAGGTATAAAAATCGTAGTAATACTTCTTCCGGAGTGAAGTTGAAAGCTGAAGGTGATGGCCGGTGAAAGATAGATAATCTCTACCAGCGGTGGTGATCAGTTTAAGTAGTGAAAAGGTGCGAGACGCAAATGTCCATCAGGACAAACGTGGTGTCATAAGTGAACCACCATGATGTACAGGGGCGTCGATGCTCGGGAGACGAGGGAGAAGCCGGCCAAGGAGTCGAAGGAAGGGTCAAGAACGCGCCAAGCAGACGTCTTGCCGCCGAAACAGCAGCTATGCGGTGGCCAGCCGGAGGTGAAGTGGTGAAGTGAAGCTGGTGTCGTCCGGTGTTTTGCCCTGCCTGAAATGGTGATACAAGGGCCTAGACTCCGCCGGCGTGGGACTCGCTATCTGTCTTCCTGCCTCTCGATCCTGACTGACTGTGACTGCGTCTGTGTCTCGGTCTGTATCTCCGTCCGCCGGTCTGTGGCGCTGCCCGTGGGGGGGGGGGGGGGGGGGGGTTCGAGGTTGGAGTCGAGATTGAGGTTGTGAAATGCTTGTTGCTGTAAGGGACCAGGTCGGTTGCTTAAGTAGAAGTGTGCGGCGAAAGAAGCAACGTGCAACGGCAAGCCGACAGCCTGCTCTCGCTGCTGATCCGAGATGCTGTCCGAAGAGCTTCCTTTTCTTTTCTCTGAGCTGTCGTCGTCGCCGGCTGGTGGTTGGCTGGCAGTGGTGGTGGTGGTGGTGGTGGTGGTTGGTGGTGGTGAGTTGTTGGAGGTTGAAGTCGAGGAGGAAGAAGTTGAAGTGCGAGAAAAAAAGAAGAAAAAAGCGAAAAAGAAAAGGAAAAAAAAAAAGAAAAAGAAAAAGAAAAAAGTTCGCGGAGGAAGCAAGAAGATTCCGAGAAAGGCTAGCGGGGCGCTTTTCCTCTTTGGGCGAGGCGGCGTTGATGTCGAAGTCGAAGTCGATGACGGAGACGAAAGTTGATGGTGATGATGATGATGATGATATTGATATTGATGTCGATGTTTTTTTGATGCCGATGTTGTCGATGTCGATGCTGGTGCTGGTGCTGGTGATGGCGAATGTGATGGGTTAAAGGCGAGTTCTGACCTTGTATAACGTACAGGCATAAGTATAACGACGCTGATCAGGCCGTGCAGTCCTGGCTTCCACGCTGGAGTCCGTCAAGGTCACTCGATACGCCAAAGAGAGGAAGCAATTCCCCGTCGTCCTCTCGTTCGCTTAGGAAAACTGGGGACGGCTCGATGACGATGCAGTGATGGGGACATCCTGGCTTGACCTGACGGACATGGTCGCCGGGGCTTGCTGTGCGCCCTTCCGGTTGGGAAGCTTGATCCCTACGCCTGCTCCATCGAGCAGACAAGGGGCTGGAGACAGACAGCAGAGGGCAGATAGGCTTACACGGCGCTACTACTCCTGCCGCTACCGCTACTGCTGCACCTCTGTTTATTATTATTATTATTATTTACGCTTGCAGGACGCTGGCTGATTGCGAAGACAGCAAGGAATCATGCTGCTACGTGCGCCTTGGCCCCGTCTTGTCTTCAATCTGATGTGCTGCTTGGCCCTGGCTTGCTTTTTTCGATGGAGAACAGCATGCACAATATGCAGAGTGAACAACTGCGAAACTCTCCTTGGCTTCCCCGTCTCATCGATGGCTTGATGTCCCTTGGCCAGCTTGTCTTTTTGCGGTTTGATGGGGCAGCCATGTGGAACCACGAGAACACCTGTGATTTTTAATTAACGTATCCAGTCAATTACCTGTGATGGGCACCCAGATGAGCGTATATATGGAGCATTCCGTACGGAGTATATGCTACTCTAAAATAATGGTAGGCCGGAGAGAGGGCCTTTCCGCGCGCTATGGATGCGATTCGATGGTGCGGGGTGCTACATATGACCCCGTACTTTTTCTGCGTACGCATATATCATTATTAAATGCCCATTACTCCATACTTACATATTCCGTCAACACTAGGGACCTCGGAAGACCGATTGTTGAAACCGGAGGATGCTGATTAGTCGGTGTGGCAGGCGCACTAGTGTGTGTACAGCAGTTATATCCGAACATGCCATCTCTTATCGAACCAGGAGTTGGGGAACACTGCAGAAGCGAAGAAGCAACAGAAAGGGAGAAGAAGCAAGAAACCAGGACCAGCCGAATAAGCAAAGCGAGGAAACAGAAGAAACCGCCCTTTTTTTTTCTTTTCCTTTTCGAAACGCGGCTCGCCATCTGAACGTCCGGGTGGACTTCCCCCGATCAGACAACTTCGTATAAATACAGCCAACAAATAGCTTGTTCGATTCGTTCCCCCCAAATTAAGAGGGTAATTCGGCACTTGCCATCAATTATATATCGTCGGCGTTCCCCATCTCCATACATCTCTGGCTACTGTCCCTCGAAGGAGCAACTTCCCAACGTCAATGCGCATGGTCTCCTGCAGATCAACAACGCCAGTTTCATATCTTCTTTATCCTTCTTATTGGGCCAGCGTCAAGAGCCCCCATGCCATCACGTGTCGGCTGTTCAGTCAGCCTGCTTACTCTTGCGTGCCCTGCGCCCGCCGCCGATTTGGACGGAGGAACAGAGCGATGCGGGAATATCCTCTGCCTGTCAACCACCGGATCAACATACAGCCAAGGCTGAGATGCATTCAGGTGCTTCACTTGGCTGACCACAGCCTCTCACCAATCGCTCAGAGATGGCTGCGTAAGGCATACAAGTCCGTATCGCGATGGGATGGGCCATGGCAGTTGGCAGGGTAATCAAGGTGATGGCAAGTGCCGAATCCTTAAAAGACACGGACAGATTTCCGAAGGACAAGGAAAAACAAACAAAACAAAACAAAATCACCGACAGCCAAAAAAAGAACAAAGGTGGTAAATAGTTATAGGGATGTGAAAAAGAAAAAAGGTAAGAGAAGGAAAGAAGCTTGCTATCTGTTGTGCACCTACTCACCGGTAGACCCGTAAGAAGCACATGCAAAGGAAGGGATGTTAGGATTTAAACCACTTCAGCTCTAAAGGAGTATGTCTAACCCATACACCGCATATCTAGGCTGTACCCATATACATGTTCCAAGTACTCCGTAGGTAAGTTAAAATAAGTGTTAATTAACCATGCTCCCGATCCCTGGAACAAGATATTCAATACTCAATTTATGTATTCTTCCCCATATTCATCTCAGACATGAAGAGACGGGAGGAAAAACGAAACATATATTGACCCCCATCTGAAACCTTCCCGTACTCCAACATCGCACCCAAGACACCCGTTCAATCAGATGAACAGGCAGCTTATCCCACAATTAAGCATCGCTAGTTTCCCCGCATGCTTCTTGACTTTGGCAAGTTTCGATGAAAAGCGGATGCGGACGTTAAGTCCCGGAGGCCTACCCCCTTAGTTTAGGTCAATGACAGGCCTGGTGGCAAGCATATGACGCCATGCGCGTTGGATCGTCACCGCTGCCCGACCGTATTTAGATGCCGAGAGGAGTCGGGAACTCAGAAATGCAAGTGCTGTGAGATTGGAGGCCTCCTCGCTGCTGGCGGCGACGGTGGTGGTGCGGGCGTGGGTGCATGATGATAGAGATGTCTGTGCTGCAGCTGATAGCAAGACTGACGATGAAGGCGATGTTGATCGCGGGGATATAAGTGCCACTAACCCGCCAATTATTTTGTAAGTACCCATATTATCAACAGTGACGAAAATATAATATAAAAAAAGGGGTAAAAAAGGAAATTAGACGCCGGGAACGTACCGAATTGACTACTACATCCGAGTGAGAGCAGACGTCTTCTCAAGGCTGACTTATTATCAGTCGAGGATGTTGGGGTCTTAGTTGGCGCTGATGCTGTAGCTGACGTTTCCTTATCGGCTTTGACACCATGACTGCCGGGGCGGATGAAGTGTTCATATTCATCCAGGATACTCATGAATACATGTCCATCAGCTAGGCTTGTGGTCAGGTTTGAAACCTCCAAACCTTTCAGTCTTGCTAGACATGATGCCCAACGGTGGAGTAGACCCGAATGATAAGCTGCCGTGTCTGTCGTGGTTGTTTGCACATGGCATGGAGGAAGACTGCTTTGCTTCCGGGAAAGCCTACCGAGCTTCTTCTCCAGTCGGGCTATCTCACTCTTGAGGTCATCCCAGTCGACCAGAGTTGAAAGACCCCATTTGCCAACTATTACCCAAAGCAAGGCTATGGTCTTTTCTCGATACCCGTCCACGATATCTTCTGGCTTGATACCAGTGATAGTAGACCCGATGCTCGGGAAGTCCTTTGTCAACGCAGATAGTGAGATACGCGCATTGTGGACTTTCGTTGCACGGCTGATACACGGCATCTTCAGTTGGCCTGATAATGGCCATATCTCTTTATCTTTGGCGTGAAACCTCTCAGGGAAATGCTCGAGGAGAAGCAATTCAGTCAACCGAGCAAGAATAACTCCATCTCTAATATCGACTGCAATATTATCGATGTGGTAGTTATATTCTGCAACTGGATGTTGCTTGTACATCAAGGAGCAATCGAGACGAGCTAGTGGTCGGGTGAAGTCTGTCTGCGGGTGAAGAAGTACCGGTCCCAGGGCCCGCATCGCTGCTGTTGATGATGTGTATGCCGAGTCCGGTTTGAAAAGACTGCGCGGTAACGCTGTATCGGGAGCCATTCTTGCCTTGTCCAAAAGGGCGATTATCATTATGCTTCGAAGGGCAGTTCTGTGATATCCCTTGACCACGTCACTGCTATCACCAACACTGGACTTGCTAGAATTATCTTGACTCATATCCTCATTCCTTATCAGCATGGCATCAAGAAACGATTCGACAGCTCGTCTTGTCCCCTTTTCATCCTGGCTAATAAATATTTGCGGGGAGGCCGAAATGTTTCCGCCATGGGGGTTGTAGCCTACTTCTCTTCCAATGACAACCTCCGCTGCTGTCTGGAGGGCAACGATATCATACGTATCGGTCCAGAATTTCGTGAATGTGCGACGGATGCGCGCATCGGTTGTCAGTCGGCGTCTTCTGCCACTAGAGTCTTCCGTGACACGCAAATCCCCGTAGAGAAGGGATGCTTGTACACGCTTGGAAAGCAGCGAGAAGTACGTGTCTTGGTATATGTCGAACAGTTGCTGTTTTAGGCAATCTTGGCCTTGCGTGTTGCATTGTCCATTTGCTGTATCAAGAAGAGTGTTCACAAGCTGTGTAATGACCACTTCTTGGTGAGATAGCCAAGTCTCCTCGTGAATCAAGGGGTCCGCAAGGTTTGCATGGAGTGCTGGGTGCTTGATTTCTATTTTTGGAGCCAAGAGCAGAGTAGGTAGTAGCTCAGAAGGCGATTTTCGTTTCGAAATGGGATTAATTAATAAAGTAGTGTTTAAAGGCAGATATTCTTTTCGTTGCTTCGTTGCTGGCGAGGTTCGAGGACTCCGGCTGCTCGTAAGAGTTGTCCGCCGCGCGGAACTCTGGCTATGTGTAGCCCTTGATGCTGATGACTTTGATACAGATTGTTTTTGTTTCGATAGTGAAGCCCTAGGCCGAGGACTGTTCACGGATCTAGACTTCATCGGTTGAGTTGAAGCCTCCGCCAAAACATCTTTCTTTCCAGTCACCTCAGCAATGCCGCTCTCAGATTTCCCAGGAGGCACGTTTTCCTTTCCTGTATTCTTCCCCATGACATCAGGTTGGTCTACCAATTCCTGCATAATCCTCTTTGGGGCCTCTAATGGCTGACGTTGACGAATGGGGGATGTCGTCTTTTGTTGTTGCCGCTTCTTCAAGATCTGAGTTTCAATATAACCGAGTTCCTGGCAGCCAAAATCTTGTGTTTTTAAAGGGCTAAATGCATCCATAAAGATGGTAGCCATTGTGGTATCATCATCTGGCGGAATATATATTGTGTTTCGCCTTTTATCTCGTTTGGTACGACCGGCTTTCTTCATCTTCTGTTCTTTCACTGGCTTCTGCATACCATGGGGAAATTTCAGACTCGTAGGGCTTTCGCCTGAGCTATTTTCTTTGAAGTCATCCTGTTGCTTCTTCACGGGCACCTTTGGTGATGAGTTCTCTCCAGCTGGAGCTTTGAATGCCGACCGTGGAAATCGCTGTGCTGGTTGTGAGAACATGGAGGATTCCCTGTATAGTGGCTTCTGTCCGCCATTGCTACCACCCGAGCTGCCGGAGTCTTCATGTATCTTAAACATAGTCGCCTTTTTGGCACGACGGGGTTTCTCCCTTGCAAGCGAGTTGAGAGACCCAAGCTCGGCCATGAAATCAATCTCTGCCGTATCGTCATAGGAGTCGAGGATGTCCTCAAATATGGGAATTTTGGCATCATTTCGTTTCCATGTAACCGGACATGGCGTTGCGTCAAGATACTGGTATTCCATGGTGTTTTATGTTGCCCTTGAAAAAGCCGGGAGTCTTCTATAGTTCGTATATCCTCTGCATCAAATCAACACGTCCCCCATAGCTCAACCCGAGGAATCCTTTTTCAACAGCCGAACAGCCTCTGTGTATTTCTCGTATATTCCCGTCCGGACAAAACAGCCTTTCCCAGAACACGACGAAGCTGAATCCAACGCTGCCGGAGTGAAGTTTGCGGTGTTCTTCTGCAGTCCAGCTCCAGCACCCGCATCCTTGTTTACCCTTTGCGGTCTCCAGGGGCAACAGGCACTTCTGGATAAGGTTGCTGAGTCAGCTTCCCTTTGCCCCCCCCTTGCGTGGCGAAAACGTCTTCCTCTTTCTCCCTTTCCAACGTTCGCCTCGCAGACAAACTCCAGCTGGAGGGTTGAAGGTCATGAGCCCTCAGCCAAGCTGACCGCTGCGAGAGGTGTCGATCGATTCCCGTGCTGGCCGAGCTCAAGAGGCGCTGGACACTACTCGGGTCGATTCGAAACATCATTGTCACCGCCGCAACGGTCCAATTATCTTGCCTTTGAGTTGCGGTACACCTGGCCTCCCAGCCTTACAGCCCCAGGCCGCGGATAATGCAACTAGCTAGATATTACTACGAGACCTGATACTCGAGCCATGGAATTAGGTGATCTATTCGACCCAGGCTTCCGGCGTTGGCTCGATGGCGATTTGCCTTTCTTTCCTCAGGTATGAACAAGTCAAGTGGTCCATGCGTGTCCATCTCTCTCCGTATTGTTGTTTGCTAGATTATCCCATTCTAACACATCTTAATCAACAGGCTGGAGAGTATTCTCTGTATTTACACTATTCACCCCACGGATGACTGGCCTCCCGTATTTATATTCATCCTATGACGCAACTTGAATATATGAGCGGTCATGGATGTCAGGTTAGGACATGAGCCCCATTAGTTGAACACTCGGATGAGGATGCCGAGTAGTTCTTCTACAATATATATACCTCTTCTGGAGAATGTTTCGTTACGAGAAGCTTGGGAGGCCTCGCTTTGGTCCCTATAGCAGATAAGACGAGGGCCACGTAACATCATCCGATATACAATATGGACCCGAAGTCACTCTTGTGCTTCTTAAATCCTCCTGCTGAGAGTACAGCAGTACGTTGACGGGGGTTTGAGCTAGCATCTGAGGCTGGTGGTGGAATTACCCATAAAATCTAAAGCCATTGGCCTCGGTTTGCTAAACCAAACCCTCTTTGATGAGATGACTTTCAATGCGGCCTTCCGCGATTTTCTTCTTTTTCTAAACAAAACAAAATCAACTGCTGTGGTATGTCACCGTTCCTAGTTCTTCCCAGGCAATCAATATATACTAACTTATTTGGGACGATAGGATTAAGCCCCGGGAAATTCGACTGTTACCATCGCTATTTGCCGGAGGCGAACCAATTTTAGCTCTCCCGCGTGGCTGCTTTTGCCTGCCCTTTCGAATTCCTTTGCGGATGTACAACTCCTTTCTCGAAGACTCCCCGCCAGACTTATGCCATCGAAGCAAAAGTAGCAATTTCCTCAACTATGTATTTATACTGACCAGAATAGACGCTTATCCGGGCCCTGAGTTACCACCATGTGGTTGTTATTTGATTTTGAACCCAGAATGTGATTTATTTTATTTAATGTATAATGTTTATAGGGAGTGTGTAAACGCACCCTCACCCTTCTCCAACGACTCTATCCCTCAGTATATCTACTATTTCCATGTACCACATAACTTGGACGCAGGGGCTATTGTCTATCTCTTTTTGTACTTCTAGTCTTCGAGGGAACATCTGGATAATTGGCGGAGAGGGTTGGACTATATATACCTAAATATATAGAATAATATCTGCAGCCTGAGAGAAAGAAATTACCTGGAAATCTATCTAGTATATATGTTTGCTGGCTAATAATAGGGCAGGGCCTGACCGTGTTGCGATGTGTCTTGGCGGCGGACGCCCTCCAAAACATCCCTCGTTTTTCTTTTTGTGGCTGCCCGCGCAGTATTTTGTGATAGAGAAGAAACCACCAGGAGGAGCCCGGTATCCAGGCAGACAAGTTGAAGATGGGGCGGTTCGACGGCCTCCCCACAGAGTTGATCCTGCAGATATGTGATAACCTAAGCCCCCAGGACAGCTTCGCTGTGGCCCTCGCGTCACGAAAGCTCGCAACTATTCTGCTACCAAGAGCCCGCATAATTACCCTTTCCTATGCAGCTGATATGAAAAAGCGGGACCTTTTCCTTAAGACGCTTGAAAAGGATGTTGATTTTAGCCTTGTTCTGGTCGACCGAACTATTCTAGAGGAGTGCATCTTAACCCAGGATGATGAATATGTGCTTCCGATGCTGGAACGGGGGGTTGGGCTTGTGTCACCGCCGGGGTCTGTATGTGCTAGTACCGGCGTGAATCTGCTTCATCTTGCTGCCTCTGCCGGGTGCGGTGACACTGTGTTGAAAAGGCTTCTTGTTCACGGTGATGAGATTGATCCATTTGCAAAGGATGAGGACGGCATTACACCACTTGTATGTGCAGTCACCAAGCGGAAGCTGGCCGCCGTGAAGACGCTGATTGGGATATACCATGAGAGAGGCAGGGAGATAGACCCTCCTGATTCTAAATGCCCCTTGATTCTACAGGCTATGCCGCGAGGGTATGGGGAAATAGTGTTGTTCCTACTGGAGACTAAGGGGATTCAGGTGAATGCCAGAGGTCCGTTTGGGGAGAATGCTTTGCACTGGCTAGCTAAGACAGACATGACTCCAGAGGATGAGGACGCTTGGGAAGACACAGATGATGAGGATGGAGACTTTACCGCCCAGGAGGTTGTAAATATAAACCAGCAAGGGCGGGAAGATGGTGATTCCCATGTTGCCGACAGCGAAGAGACCGAAGATGTGAACGTCAAAGTATTGAAGGGCCTTCTCAAAGCTGGTGTTAGTCTTACTGATACCGCGACCAGGGACCGTCTCACTCCCTTGCATGCCATTGCTCTGAATGGACGGTATAATTTGATTGAACCTATTGTCACTGGAGGTGCTGATATATCAGTACGATGTGCGAACGGTGGCACACCTCTTCACTGGGCAGCTAAGGGCGGGTCGGTGTTCTCTATGGATGCTCTAATCGACCTGGGAGCTAGTGTCAATGACACCGATCTAGAGAACAAGACCCCGTTATTCTGGGCCTACGCCTGTGAAAATGCGGACGACCCTCCTTCCGAGTTTGATCCAAGCCCATACCCTATACTGTATCTGCTTGAGCAAGGGGCAAACCTTTCACACCTAGACTCCTCCAATCAGTCTGCCCTGCACATTTTTGCCCAACACGATAGGCCCAACGGGGCAACTCAGCTGCTAGCTGCTGGTATTGATGTGAACATACAGAGAAACGACGGATCCACGGCGTTGCATCTAGCAGCCTTGAACGGGTCACACAAGACTGCGGCGCAGTTGCTGAGGGCTCGGCCAAATCTAGAACTGAAAAATGCACAGGGTCAAACTGCCCTTGAGGTTGCTGTGGAGAAGGGCAAGGACAAGGTTGCTAAACTGATTCGTAGCTATACTCGACGTGGAGTTACAGCTGTCGGAGGTGTTATCAATGATCGTAGCATGGAGGACCTGCACGACCGGCTGACCACACAGTTGTCTATCTATGAGTGGAGAGAATGAAGCTGCCAATTCTTCGCTGCAGAGCGGCACTTTTGAAGCAAGCGGAATACTTTAAATAGATGTTAGGCTAACGTTTTGATGATACTCACAATCTTGGGTCGTCCAATGCGTGCTCTTAAAATTTGGTATCAACACCTTCATTTCACAAAGCCGTTGCCATCACACGACTCCGTATCCAAGACGACTATGATGACATCTCCCGACGCACTGGCCAGAATATGCACGGGAGATCGCCTCACTGCGGTCTATGCGAGTAACTAGTTGGTCCTTTTCAGGAGCCATCAATCGAAGCACCACGCTCCATCCATATATAATTAGCAATAGGCCTAACTCCGTGCCAAATCGGAGCAACCAGTCAATCTCACCAGCGTGTTCCGTTACGTGTTGGATGATCGTCGACGCTACATGGTTGTTTCACCCTCATCTCCGGCTGAGCGTACGGATATGCGTCGACAACGAGCTATCAATGGAGTGCCGTCTGGATACTGAGCCAGGGATATCCATGGCCTCCACAGCCCCGAGACTCGAGACCGCCGCCAGCAGAGAGGCAACAAACAGGGCCCCTTCCAAGGAACCCACGCAGATCAGGAACAGAAAGGCAAAAAAAAAAGCAGAAACGAGAAGAAGCAAAGAACAAGAGGCAAAGAATCTCGCTTCTTCGTATCTTCCCATTCGAATATCAAAATCCCAACCAGAGATCGAAGTTTAAACCCATCGAGAGATCTATTATCTTTTCGGAGCTTTTGAACCTTGTTCAACTAGTGAATCCACGTGTAAAATAGGCATATAAGGATGCTGTCCAGTCCCTGTTCCTGGATGGCAAACTTGTGGCCTTTCGCCAGGAGTGAGGACCCAGTTGCGTAGTAACGTAGCAAAGTAAAAGGGGAAAAGAGTCATGTTAATGCTTAACTAACGCCTGGGTACTCCGTACGCTGTAGAGTTAGCGCTGGGGCGTCTTTCAGGGACCAGTTGCTCTCTGCTCTGCGGTAGAAAATAGGGGGCATCCTTCGCCTCGCCTCGTGGGGATTTTCCCGAGAGAGCTATATTTTTGGATGCAACCTCGCGCACTTTACGAGCCTGTGGCGACTCCCAACCTTCATCAGGCCTGCGTTCCTGGCGCCCACGGACATGAGTTTTATAAAATCTGACTTATCCCAATAATACAATAAGCTGACCGACTAGCGAAGAGGCCGTGAAAGAGGAAGATGTGGCGGGACCATGGAGGCCTGTGTTTATGAAGATTCGCCCTTGGCCGCTTACCTCGAAGGTCGGTATAATTATATCTCCATCTCCATCTCCCCGCAAAGGAGCCGCCGCCTGGATGGGAGCAGGGCTAGAAGACACAAGAAAAGCTGACGCAGGGTGACTTGCAGGTGAAGGCGAGGCCGAGCAGGACTGGACGCCGCAGGAGGTCGACTGGCCGCATACCGAGTACTCGGACTCCACGACCCTCGACTTCGCGCCCCAAGGGCCTCCGAAATTTCAGGACCGCATCAGAAACAAAATCCCCGAGCCCTTGAAACTGAAGCGGTCGAATAGACAAGAGGCTCTGGCTAGGATCCATGATACCTGCGCTGTTAGTTGTGTTCCCTTATCGGTGGAAGTTCCAGGTGGCCAGTTGGTTATCTGATGGGAGACGGGGGGTTAACAGCTGGCAAAAGGCCGCAATCAGTGCGAGAATAGGCAAGACCGACAACGAGCGATTCAGAGAACAGTTTGGATACACGATTATTGCGTCGCAGTTGTTGAGCGAACCCAGCGCACCCTCCTACACCTCCGTCTCGAACCTGTTGAGCCACCCTGTCCAGAGCGATGATGACAAGGCAGCCTCCCGAGCCGCCATCTTCGGCGTGCGAGGAGCGGTATTCACGGCCGTGGCATCCTTCTCCGTCGTCTTACTATTACACTGGGCCCGATCCATACACAGAATAGGCTGGAGCATTGGAAGAGTCCTCCTTCTTGGTGTCCTGTTGGCTACGATCGTTGCAGCGTTCTACGTCTTTGCGAAACGCCAGTGGCTGAGATACCTACGTAGCCAGGCTATCGAGACCGCCACTGCCTGCGTTGGGAATGCGCAGACGCTCGACTCTGCGGCTTCGGCATCCGTTGTGCTCATTCAGGAGGTCGAGCTCGTTTCACGCGGGTACAGAGTGTACGAATACATTATTTCCGTCCACCCCCTATATTATACATAACTAACATGACTTGTCGAGTAGGAGCTCGCCTCTTCCACCAGTGAGCCGGCTGGAGGAGCAGTCGCAAACCCGGAGATGCTTGAAACTCCGTCGCATCCTGGCCAAATGCCTGGATGAGATGCTGGAGAAATATCTCTATGTGAAACGAAAATTACGACCACTCGTAGATGATGCAAACTTGGAAAAATATTATGACATTTATGAAATTTCCCAGGTGGGACTCCAGGCCGCCGAGTCCACGGTGGTCGACCAGTCGGTGGATGAAAAGACATCCCTGAGATCGTTGCGGTCGTCATTCGCTCGGCTGTATACCGTGAGGAAGAGCGCCCTTTGTTGTCTCCTTGCACTCCCGGCAGACGGAGGTGAAGCCGATATTGCAAGATGGAGCGCTGCGACTGAAGAGATGCACAGCCTGGCTGACGCCAGCGCCGAGTGGATTGAGAAGCTGAGAGACGTCCTCAACGAACAAGACCGTACGCCTCCCTTCCATCCTTGCGTTTTCTATATACCTAATCTAACTTACGTAGGAGACATAATATCGTCGTCCCCAATACAGAATCCAAACCCAAACCCTAACAGGGACCGCTATCGAGCCCAGCTTCGTCGGCTAAACTCCTTATCTCAGGGCATACGAGGACTTCATGCCAGAATGCAACTTATTCGCGAAGAGTCGGATGCCTGTCTCGATGGGTCCAACGAAGACGTAGACCTCGGCTCGACCCTTCTTGTCCAATACGAGGCTATCGGCGCTGAACTGCGTGGGATACTCCAAGAATGGGAAGCCGGCAAATCGGCCATGCGAGCCAACATGGAGTCGTCCGATCGTCAGTCATCTTCTTCCCGACGCACGTCAAGCATGATCAAGTCACCGTCTTCACCCACTTTCAGTATTGGAGGCAGCACTGCTGTCGACGGCGGTCCGGCTGATGCCCTGCGTGCTTTGAACGGAGAGATGCAGAAATCTCTCAATCCAGATAGCAACATGGATGATGACGAGGTGTTTGAAGCTATTGCCATGCCCCGAACTCGAAGCTCGTTGACTCGCGTGGAACGAATCGCACGCATGAAGGAAGACCGAGCCCGTCAGGCCGTTGCTCGAGAGAGAGCAGAAGCGAATACACATATGCTGAAGGAACTTGAGACTGTGATCAAGCTTCGTCCTCATAAGGGCGGCGCAAGAGTCTCTAGTCTCTAGGTTATCTGACTTTCTTTTAATCCTTTTCTTTTCGTTTTTATATCCGGATCTTCTATACTCGGGCGTTGATGGCTTTCTCCTTTGTGTTTCCTGGCATCGCTCATATAGATGTGATGCTTTCCTGGTACCCGCGTTGCCCTAGTATGTACTATATTTATCGATATATATAGAACCCCCAAGTAATGACTTAATGGAATTATGACGGTATCCGCATTTGCTTCTGTTTGCCCGTCTGGTCTGGAGTATATGGAAAAGTCTTGCTGTCCATAGATATCTTGTCGTTGGAGCCGTTGACGCGAAACTCGAGCTAAATTGGTTTCGTGACACGCGACGCGCATTTTCACCGCACACCAAAGAAAAAAGAACCGGCAGGTTTCTCTGGCTTCAAGAACATCCATCGTCGTGTTGAATTACGCTGAATACTTAACAAATTACCACACTCCGGGCTCTTTGGCTAAGGCAATCCTGTGCCGTCTCTCTCTGGTCTTACGCAGTATATCGTTTCACCCCTTCTCAGCGTCGTCAGATCTACCCCGCCATACTCTTGCAGCCTCTTAAGCGGTTCGTTGATATAAATCAGTCAAGAGTGCGTTACCCCGGCCAGCCAACTATGAAGAAGATGTAGAATCTAACCGACCACGCTGTATATAGTGTTGGAAGCACGATTGGAAGAAGCTGCTATGCTGAAGAAGGTATACTACCGGCGAACAGCAACTGAGAAAAGGCCATGTCTAACCACGGTACTATTAAACAGGTGGTCGATGCGGTAAAAGATCTTGTACACGACTGCAACTTCGACTGCAATGACTCTGGAATTGCCCTCCAGGCCATGGACAACTCCCATGTTGCGCTTGTCTCCATGATGTTGAAAGCAGAGGGCTTCTCCCCCTTCAGATGTGACCGCAACGTCGCCCTGGGAATCAACCTGGTCTCCCTCACCAAGGTCCTACGGGCTGCTCAGGATGGAGACGTGCTTACTCTCAAGGCCGACGACACGCCAGACGTAGTCAACCTGCTGTTCGAGAGCGTTGAGAAGGACCGTGTGAGCGAATATGATATCAAACTCATGGACATTGACCAGGAGCATCTTGCTATCCCGGAGACGGACTACTCTGCCACGGTTGAGATGCCATCTGCTGAGTTTAGGCGGATTTGCGGAGACTTGAACCAGCTTTCTGAGTCTGGTATGTCCCATTTGATTTTTATACTGACAACGTTATTTGAGTATGCTAATTGGGAATGCTAGTGTTGATCGAGGCAACCAAGGATGGTGTCCGATTCTCTTGCCAGGGTGAAATTGGTAACGGTGCTGTTACCATTCGTCAAAACACCAACGTTGACAAGCCAGAGCAGAACGTCTCCATCACCCTGACTGAGCCCGTTGCTCTTACATTCTCTATCAAATACCTCCTAAACTTCTGCAAGGCCACCAGTCTTTCGTCAAAGGTGCGACTGTCCCTCTCTGCTGAGGTTCCTCTGCTGGTCGAATATACTCTCGAGGGATCTGGTTATGTACGGTTCTATCTCGCTCCAAAGGTAAGTTCTTCACTTTCTAAGCCAGTCTTACATGAAAGTTCAACAGTGCTGACTCGATGGCAGATTGGCGAGGACGAATAAATGATATTTTTCTCCTTTTTCGTTTGGTAATTTTCCACTGGCCAGCCAGGGGAACATTTTTTCTTTTTACCTTCTTATGATGAGGATTAAATAATGAAGCGTACAAATTCAGTAAAGGTTTTTTTTTTTTTTTTAGCTTAGACCTCGTGGCACGGTGGTAGTTTATCGAAATTGCCCGAAAAATAAATAAAACGATATTCTCGTTCTATCTATAGATTTCTATAATTTTACATAGTTTCAGCGTCTAGCAGCCGAATATTACTCACTCACCTTATGTCCCCAACACTACTCCGTATCAGGTTAAACGTTTTATCAAATGCGTCAGGTTCATATAAACAAAATGTTAGCACGTTATATCACAACCTGGAAGAGAAAAACTCCATACCTAGGGGAAAAAGAAGGGTGAAGCATCGTCCTCGCCAGAGTAATCGGAATCGAATGATACCCGGCTCTCCTCTCAATTGAGGTAGCCATGATACGCTGCGTATTGCACTTAGGTGTCGTGACTCCCCGAAGGAAGACACACACAATCTTCGCAACGGCTCTCCCAAGGGGGCGAGGAATACAGAAGCGAGGCCCAGGATTTCTCCCAGGCCACCCATCCGCACCCTTCCCCCGATGTTTCTGATGCCTAATTGCAGACACTTTTCATGCCAGGCCCTCACGGGCAGTACCGAGCTTCCTCACTGTAGGCGTGCAGAAGCTGGTTGAAAGGTTGAAGAATACTCCGAATTTCTCATTTGCAAGTGTAACTCCAGCATGAACTGGCGGATGTAGCAAAGAAACGCAGCTTTGGCGAGGACGATGCTTGACCAAAGAGAAGAAGAAGAAGAAAAGTCGAAGTCCCAGCTTTTTTGGCGTCTTTTTTTTTATTCTCTCGTTGTGTGGAAGGGTCACGTGCAGCCGACATCGCCCTTCTTTTTTGTCGTTGTTTGCTTTTCTTTTTCATCCTCAGCCTTTTTTTTTTTTTTTTTTTTCGAGCTATCAATTCCGCCAGTCTCGGGACGGCAGCAGACAGGTGCTAGTTGGCCCTTGTCGTCCTCAGCTTTCTCCTAGCTCCTCAGCTCTGTTCAGCTGCGGGTTTCGGCATTTCGGCTTACTCTCGTCGTCTGGCAGCCAGGGATTGCGGCTTGAGTCAGAGAATATACGGAACTTCCGCCCTCATAAAGTACACAACACGCAATCTCAAGACACGATGGAGTCGAGACAGGATAAACGACTAATCTTACGGGGGAACAAGGGAGGACCAGGGGCCCGGGACAACGTTGCTATTGAATACGTAACTGCCACGGCCAGCCTTCTCAGCTCGCTCCTCCTGGGGGGCCTCCTGGCACTAGCCGCCCGCTGAGCCACAACAGGCGGTTTCCTCCCTTTCCAACCCGGTCCATGGTTGCTCCATCGCGGTAAAACACTGCCAGGCGGGATCCAGGGATCCAGGCGTGGGCAAACCACGGGAGAAACGTAGTCTAGTAGGGACATACCTAAGTCTAATATTTACAACCAGAGTTAGGGCAGCTTAAGCCGTAGCCAGCCTCCAGCCTCCAGCCTCCAGCCACAAACTGTCTGCGCCCGAAGAGAACGGGAGAAAAGCCCGCAGGCGGAGAAGGGGAGAAGAAAGAAAGAAAGAAAGAAAGAAAGAACTTTGGCTGCTCCCTCTCATTCCCCGAGACTAACTATCACTTTGTTCCTTGGAAGGCCGTTGTGTTATTATTATTATTTAGTGCTAGCCAGCCCTCAAAAAAGGCGGCTCCGCCAAGCCGCTGAACTGCGCATTTTGATATTCCACCGCCAGGATCGACTTGCTCGTCTTTTTCCTCGTCTTCTGATTCTCTCCTCAGCCTCTCGCTTTCTCTCTTTCTCTTTCTCTTTCTCTTCACTCGCTTTCCAACTACTTTCTTTCTCTTGTCTCTCTCATCATCGCCATTCCCATCGACTCGACCTCCGTCTCCCTCGCTCTCGCTCTACGACCGTTGACCCTCGTCTTCGCCCTATCTCAGCCGCCGTCACTCGTTTGGCCCTCTCTTTCTCCCTCTTTCTAAGTAGGACGCCCCTAGCCGCGGAGCCGCCTTGCACCGCCCTACACAAACACAATAGAGAAAAAGCTCGCGCAGGGGCAGAGGACTCGCCTCTTTATCATATAACTCGCGTCTTGTGTCCCGTTGCCCATTGTTCTCTCTCGTCTTGCACAGCCATCCAGCGTCTACGTCGTCCTCCTTCGTCACCCACAAGCCTCGTCCCGATCGTGGCATCATACAGCCGCTACCACATTTAGCACTTACTTTTTCTCATCCTCCCTCCCTTTTTTCCCTCATTTTTAATACGCCAAAAATAACGGAGATCAAGGCTCCGGTGAGGAGCTTCTGGCCGCCAAAATTCGTCCATACTCAAGACGGACGTCTCTCTTGGGAGAGCCAGGAATAGACCCGCCGTTGCTTCCTCCGGGTCAGGGCTATAGGCCAAGAGAAGGGTACACGACTCGCGCAGAGTCATCGTGGAAGATGTATCTACCAAACACACGCTGGACGTGGTCGTTTGTCATTGTCACCACGATCCAGGCGGCATGCGTTCTTGCTTTCGAATCGTAAGTTTTGAGATATTTTCCGTTTCCCCCCTCTCATATACGAATAATACTGACACTTTTGATAGATATGTGTTTGCAAGATTCCAGCTGCAGCTTAAATCAGATGCATCGACGAATACCGAATCAAAAACGATACCAACATTCCTTACTCTCTACATCTTCGGTTTCGTGTACGAGCTTGTTTTGGTGTATGATGCACTTCGGCTGAAAAATACTATCCAAGTTATTGGACTATGTATCTGCAACTTTGGTCTTCTTATCTATGGTGCTGTGCAAATCGACCAGATCGATACTTCGGTGACACAACTCGGTGACCTTGGACTTATCCACCCAGAGGTAATAGACGAGATGAGGCCGTTCCTTATTGCGATTCCTTGCATCACTGCTCTTGGAACCGTGGGGATGAGTTTCCTTGCTTGGAAGTTATACGATGAATTTGCATGGACGATCTACAAGCATATCAGCGCTGATTTGCGGATGAAGCGCCGTTACCTTACCTACCAGGTTTGTATTCGTGCACTATATGACTTACCCTAGACGGTTTTACTAACCTGTCCTTTAGATCTACATTGCTCTGCTGAAGTTTGATTTCTTCTTCTTCCTTGGGTTCACTGTCCAGTTTGTCGTTATTGTGACAGACACTAAGACTGTCGAGTTTGCTCTTACTCTTGCTGCCATACCAGTCACTATCCTGATCTTGGTGATGGCTGCGTTCTGGACCCGACGTGAGAGTACAGTTGGCATGATCATTGTCATCGTAAGTTATATTTCCTCCACTGACCCTGAAACAAATGCCATAAGCTAACCTTTTATCGACAGTTGCTCTACTTTGGTGGTTTCGCCTACTTCCTTTTCAAGCTAATCCGCATGTACTCTCCCGCAAAAGAGAAGGCTTATCTTCCCGCTCGCCGATCTCTTACTTTCTTTGCCGTTGCAACCATCATCCTCATCATTATGACCATTATCAACGCCATAATGTGTACTCTCAACTTCAACAAGGGGCTGAAGCCACATATTACAAGCAAGAAGAGACCACGCGGTGCAGAGAAGGAAGGCACCGAGCTTCATGACCAGTTCTCACCGCATCCTGTTCCCACCCGCATGACAATCGATTAAAAATTTCGCCACCTCGATAGTGAATGAATACAGCTTTGAACATTTTTCCTTTGAAAGGAAAAGGATGAAAAGAAAGAAGAAGAAAAAAAAGTAAACTAATCTCAATCTGCAATTAACATTCCCAATGCCATATACCCAAGGATATCTTCGCTTTTCTTTGTTTCCTTTCGCTTTCCTTACTATTTCTTGTTTACTTTTACGTACTTCTTTCTTTTTCATTCTTCATTTTTTTTATTTTTTATTTTTTGGACTCGGTGCAACCCAGCAGTAACCGCTCGAATGCTTACCTCGAACTTGAATCTGGATGATAAGGGAAACAGAAGCAATGTGAACGAGAAGCAATTTCGATATGGTTCAACGTTCAAATACCGCCTCATAGCAAGCTGACTTTTAATCCTGTTAGAATAGGGATTTTATTTGTTTCCCTCCTGAATTTGTTTTTGTTCTCGAATGATACCTCATGTATTTCCTATGACTCCTTGCCCATTTTGTTTCCCTGTATCTATTTGTACTTCTGCGAGGCTATCTTACTTTTGGCCCATCGCTTGTCACTCTTTTGTGAGTTTTTTGAAAATTATCAGCGTCTTAAATATACTCGGATTCTCGTCTCTGTCATGTCTACGTTGTATATACCCATAGGGCTGATACTCCACTCTACAATATAGACAATTCAACCAACCATCATCCTAATAGCTCAACTCTCCCCTACTATCTATCTATCCATCCACCATACATCCATCAAGTAACCACCGGCGAGGCTAAATATATACGATTACATAAGCTTTCCCGGCCCAAAGGCGGCGATGGATGGCAGAAAACACGTAGAGACAACTGCTGACATAATCACAACCGCACCACTTGGGAAATCGTGGCCTCTTTCATGTTTCCAGCGCAAAGCAAGATCGAGATTTGGGAGATATCGATACCATAACGGGCACATCTCTCATTCTTCAGCGTGTCTAGTCTCACGGTGGATTTTCCCCTTTGCCTCTCCATAATACCGATTTCCGACACATCCTCTCACAATGGTAAGGAAAACAATCTCGTTCCCTCGTGCCATAATTCTCTTTCCCCCTTGACCCAAAACATCTATCCGAATGCACGAATACTTATACTAACTATACTTCCTCCACTCAGGCTTCATCTCCAATGGCATCAGGTGCCGACTCCGGTGCTGAGGGCTCCAAGCCTACCAGCCCATCTGGCCCAGCAGGCGGCTCAAGCTCTGCCCTGCGTCCATCTTCCCCTACACCTCCAGGAGGCCCACGAACAGCCCTCCGCCGCCGTGCTGCTGCAGACCACAAGGAGTCCGTACGAAATGCACGCCCAGCATCAACCAGAGCTGCCGGAGCCGGCGGTTCGTCTGGTACCATGCTCAAGCTGTACACCGACGAGAGCCCAGGACTGAAGGTTGACCCTGTTGTTGTATTGGTTTTGTCACTTGGGTTCATTTTCTCTGTTGTCGGGCTTCATGGTACGTCTTTTTTGGTTCTTGTGTGGATTCCTCAATATTGCGAGTTTGAAGCTAACATGAGTTTGATGCAGTTATTGCAAAGATCACTCGCAAATTCTCTTCGTAAATTGGGCGCCCTTTCTACGGAGTCTTCTTGTTTCCTTCTTTATCGTTTCCCGCTGTTCTCCATCGTCCTCCCCTGATTACCGACAAAAACACACGAGTTATGGCTTCCAACTGTATAAAGGTCGTTTCTTATCTTCATGGCTGGGAAGGATCCAAGCGAATGTACCGGATAGGATCCAGCTTCTACGACGCAACTACAACTACTCAACATACTATAATCTATACCTTATGACACAGGGGCTGTTTGATCTCTACATACTGGCCATCTTCCAAGATCAAATAGGTTCCAAGCAAATCTGTGATGAACATGCGCGTTGGTCAAAGCGGGATATTGATACAATGTCTTCATTGATACCAGATGCTGCAACTTACACTATTTGCACGTGTTTATTTCATCTTTATGCCTTGTTTCCATCCACCTCCATCCGCTCGCCACCCTCAATATCAGCTGTATATTTGGGACCTCAATATTCTGCAAAGTCTAGCTAGATTTTACTTCTCTTGTAACTTTATTGAACCTCATCTTTGGCATTGAATCCCAGTATTTTGATTATTGGATGCATTTGTAAGAATAACATGGAGTAGGTTCTATAATCCTGGACGGGATGGTTCTATATGGAGTACAATTAAGCTCCATTGGATTCGTCACGCTTATTGTCCCAATCCACTCTTTGCAAGCGCCATCTCCTCCTCCCACCATCCTCTGAATAGCTTGAGCCGGTTGGTTCTCTCCAACGCCAACCTTTTCCCTTCAGGGGTTTTCATCGAGGCCTCCAACCTTTCCAGCTTCTCGACGAAATAGGCCATCGTCTTCTGCAAAGGCCTTCCCGCCTTAGAGACAGCACCGCCATACGTAAATGTGCGACCAATCCCTATACTGCCTATTGCGTCCAGACGATGTGCATCCTGGATAATACCGAGCTCTGGAATTTCTTGGACTAGCTTCCGTACATACTCCCGGGTTTCTTCCGACTCTGTTTCTGCGGAGTACGAGACGTTGTTGACTACGATTTGAACCTGCTCTGCCACAGGTATTGGTGTTCCAAAGGTCAAAAGCAGCTGGTAAATCGTGACATCATGTTTCACGTTGGCCTCAGGTTTCTCGTTAGCCTTGGGGTGTTTCCCATCCCCGACATGGTGCAATAAAGCACCTAGCGTGAGGACTAGGGGGTTCCATGTGGATACTGCAGTTTTAGCTTTTGCAAGTCGTGACGAAGCGATAATCCGAGAAAGGCCGAGGACACGCATTACATGGTCAAAGTCATGAGAGCTGTTATACTCGGACATGTATTCCTTGACATAGCGGGTAACCTTTTTGACAATAGCAGCTTCTGAGAATGCCGACGAGCTAGCAGCCGCTATGGGGTCACTTGCATCCGCAGTATCTTCGCTCCGTGCACTGTCAGCCATGGCAACCTAGGTATTTCCCTGTTGTTAGCTAGGAGGCGGTTCTCTGTTGTAGCTACATAGAGCAGACCGGAGGACGTGAATCTACGAGGTAACTAGAGGACTGTCGTCGGTTGTTTTGGGAGATCTATGTAGCTCTAGGCTCGAGCCTTCCTCCAGTCAAAGCGCTCAGCCTCTCCACTTTTGCGGCAAGCGCTACCTTAGAACAACATCAACATCAACATCAACAATGACATTCAAATTGCAAGCCCAAGCCTCATAAGGAGTCGTTTGAGACATCTGGTACTGCCGCTTTCTTCTACTGATATCTTAGCTATAGGCCTGTGGATGGTCTTAGGCGCTTCAGGGTACAACTAGGTACTAGCTACTCTAGAGTCTTTTCCCTTCCCAGCACTTAGTTGACTAGTTAGTTCCATCATCTCAATCAATATCTTCTTTATCATACCACTGGCTTGAAAACGGAACATTGCCGCAATGTGGTACCTGTTCCTCGAGATTTTTGACCAGGCTTCCTAAACACGGAGTGGAACTAGGGTATCGTGGTGAGGCATTCTGGAGAAGTGAAAGATTCAGACGTGAATAGAAAGGTAGCATCGATGACCAGAACCTGGCTCATCTTGCTGCCTGGTATTCGATCCTTGGGTAGTCGATGTCGGAATCCTTTTGAAGGGTGAGAGTGGTTTGATTACTGTTGACGTCTTTGGGTCATCGTGTCGTTCGTAATGTCCACGGAAGGTTTAACTGGCTGACCCAATATCTGGTCAACTCTACCCAGAGGGTAAACAGCACATTTACAACATGTAATGAATAGGTATCTAAATGGCAATGGTGATTCTTGGAATTCATGTCTAACGGTATAATATGGGGGAATTGTGCTGCGTAGAGTAATACACACGTATGCATTGCGAGATGTCAACGTAACGAACATGAGGCTTGCAGCAGTGCATATGCAGTATCCCTGCCCCTCGCATTGTATTTCTATTGATATTGGGTGAATCCCCGCTTTCACACAAGGTCAATAGAGGAACAACCACAGTGGACACCAGTTGGCGATTTCTCTCCACAGTGTCCAGTGATATTTGCGGTTTTGAAAACAAAATAGTACTACCACAGCAAGGTTTGACATCCTGAGAACCATAAGTCCTTCGATAAGCTTATATTATCTAGAATGTGCGAATACCTCGTGTCGACGGTACATTACCGTGGGTGTCCAGCATCATGCAATAAAACTTCCAAAGCGTTCAACCGGTGCCCAGAAGCACGGCGGAGCGGCGTAACATGCCCTCAACCCAAGGATACGACACTTGGACAATCAACGTATCCTGAGAAATGTCCAAATCATCGAGACGAAGGATACAGCAGGCGTTAAGAGTTATATATTGACGAGGTTTCCGATAGCAGTTTGTACTTCTTGAGCAGAATTTATTTCTGACCGCCAACACTTTTCAATTATTTCGCCGCATGGAATATCGGTAACGCTTGGAAATTGCTGGGCCTCATAACGCGTTGTCACTTCATCACTTGGAATATCTTCAAAAGGACTATTGCCCTGGAAAATTTCATAGAGAGTCGAGCCTAGGGCAAAAAGATCTGTTGCTATAGTCGGTGGCTCTCTCCAGTCGCGTGGCAGATAGAATCGAGTTCCTTCACCTGAAGTGGGTTTAGAACCATCTAGAGATGAGCCGGAGAAATCGATAATTTTGATATTAAGTTCGTTATCCAGAAGAAGATTTCGTGGTTTTATGTCACAGTGGAGAATGTTGTTATTATGGAGAAGCTGGACCGCTTCCGATACTTGGTACGCCCAAGTTAATTTGAGACTTGTTGGAACTGAGCTCGACTCATGAGACTGTAAATATCTCTTGAGATCGCCATTTGGCATATACTCAAGTATAATCCCATCGCTTGAATGACTGACTAGTCTAACAAGCCTCTCATGGGGGCCGATTCGCCGATATATGACCGCCTCCTTAGCAATGTCTTGAACATGGTCTTCCATCATGGGGCCGGGGAAAGGTGACTTGATGACAGTGCCATTATCGAGCAGTTCAACTATTCCTGTCAAGCCGCCACAGATGAATTCGCCTTTTGCATCTCTCACGATTTCAATAATGTCATTGTTGTTCGACTCAGATTGGTTTTCCTGATATATGAGCCAAATGGTCAGCACTCTGTAAAAGCAAAGGGTAAATATATAAGGATAGGTTAAACAGCATATACCGATTTCACGCCCCAGGTTAACCAACGACTTAACAGAGTGGTAAGAGGTGAATGGCGACGCAAAAAGACAGCAGCCCAGTTCCTGAGTGTCGACCACAACGAAAGCAGCCTATCTCGTATCATGGAAAGCGCCATAGAAAGAAGAAAGATCGCCTGTTGTTATCGTGTCCGAAGTAGTGACCAGCTGGTGTGGATCAAACTGGCTGCTTGACTCCTTTTTCCTACCGAATCTTCAGTTTGACTTCCTGTTCCTGCGGCTGAAAAAAAAGAGCCGGCCTGGTTTCGCCGATCCTAGCCAAGTCTGGCGCTGCGTCATCTCGCTCTTCGTACTCCGTGCCAAACATAAGGAACTTCCAATCCTTTCGCTCTGCTTTCTCCCGTCGTTTACGAACAACACGACTCACGACTTTTTCGACCTTCAGACGAGGGTTTTTCACCTAACGACCACCATACCTTGAGTCGCATCCAAGCAACAGCCATGGCTATCTGCATAACCTTCGGTACTCACGGTACGTCTCGGGATATCTTGCCTGTTGATGACTGCCTAGTGATACAGCTTGAAAGAGGTCGCAGACTAATCCTGGAATACTTTCCCCTTACCAGAGTTCACCTCGCAGCTGCAAGGATATGAGAACGTCACTGCCCAATGCCAGAACTGTAAGATGCGATCCCTGATGCTGTGTATATGCAGCTATGCGCCTTGCGTCTAGACTGCCTTTCTCTAACCCGGTATACTACTTTGCTAGGCGGTAACTGGTCGGGTCGATGCATTACCAGATGGTCAGTCAACATCTCAACAGCTATTATGGGGAATATGAGGACTGCTCCTTATAATAAATAGAATGGCCAACTAACGCTTCTTCTGTATTCTAGGCCCTTTTTCACCGTCTGCTTCATTGTATGAGCTTCTGCCTGCACTTTATTTACTTGGAATACTAAACACCGTCTTTTCAAAGCCACTTATTCCACTGGCCATGCACAAATATAAAGTAAGTCTTGACTCTCTTAATAGTTACTAAATAAGCTCCTTTGCTAATAGAGTACTGCTTACAGGAAGTATACTGCCATATCTGCCGGTTCTCACAAGACATGTCGTGAGTGTCATACTCTTTACCATTAGTCAACACGGGCTACGGTGTTAATAACTTTATGCTAGAATGAGACCGGACGTCCAATCTCAGGGACCTGGTGGCCACGGGCAAGGGCCGCCACCAGGGGGTCCTCCGCAGCAATATCATGGCCCACCGCCCGGACAGCAAGGGCCATATCAACAATATCAGCCACCACAACAGCCTGGTTATAAGTAGCCACAAGTGTTATGCCACCTGATTGCTTCCACTTTTTGACATGAAGTTATGTTTAAGAGTGTTCTTTTGTTGTCTTCCATTACGATTAATACTCTTGTTTCCTCGGTTCTACTTTATTACACTTCTTTAGCCTTAATATCTTTGTTCCATATCTACCTTGGAATTGTCCTTCTTAGCTTAGATACCCTTTGCCTTTTCTGAGTTCTAAGACAACCTCAGGTGTATATTCAACCCATAGTACTTAATCAATTTATATTTCGCGAGATGCTTTAGCGTAATACATAAAAAAAGATTGTTAAGATACTTAAGAGGCGTAAGTCCGGGCTTCAAAAGCAGCCATAGACTCAACAGACGTTAGGAATGTTTGATAGCAATAAACCATATTCCATGCTTGCTTTAGAGAGTATCATTAACAAAAAAGCGGCATATATCCCTGAAGACAGGAACGACAACAATTCATTAACACAATCTCTCCCTCCAAATCACACCTTCTGCCCGAATACCCCGAGTCTGGCTCACAGCGGGGGCTGGGGCATCACCCGCTAAGAGGGGAAAGTAAAAGATGACACGCTCTGCTTGAGGAATCCAAAAAGGGTCCGAACACTTATTGTGTTTTAAATAGGAGGATGGCGCAGTGGCCGAGATAGAAGTATATGAAGTGCTTGGTTTCTGTCTGCAAGTCAGCTAGGTCAAACATTTCAAACGGCCCAAGCTTAGCATACCGTGAGTGACGAAGCTTCCAAAGTTCCTTCCGACAATGCAATGCCAGGTAGCGCCCTTTCGTGAGTCGAACTATCACCATTATTATCAGTATGTGACCCTCGCTATATCCGTGCACCAAAAAAAGGCCAACGAACCTCCTTCTTTATAAATTGCGCAATATCCTATGGTGGTCGCGGTTAGCTATATCTCGACAAACATAGCACAGTCGTCCCAGGTCGCTTCTTCACTTGCTTTTTCGATATGGTACTTCTCCATGGCCTCGGTAGCTAAATAATGGCGTGTTAGCTTGTTTGAGCCGGTAGCGCGCGCGGGGGGGGTAGTTAGAAACACGCTTACCAACTTCAATGGCTTCCTGCTGCATGTCTTCGCTCTATTCCGGTAATCGATTAGATGCTGATCCTCTTGTATACTGGGATAAACACTGTCTCACCATGTCCACAGACTTGATCTGGGCTGCCGTTATGTCACTCGTTAGCCCGCCCGTCCAAACCACAGAGGGGAAACCAATAAAAGGGGCAAGGGAACAAGGTACCTTCGAGCTTCTCGCGCTTCTCGGTGGCCATGGCGACTGACAGGAGGAATCAGGAGGAAGAGGGATATGAATTCGTGGTCGTCAGCGGGTATGTCAGAAGATCCTCTGGGTGGTGGCTTGCTGTCAGTGTCTGTCTGTTCTGTCGCTTTCGTCCTGTTGCTTCTCCCCGTCCGTTTTATTCGTTTGTTTTCCTTTTTCCTTTTGGTGACGAAAGGCTGACAGAGCGAGTTTGGTGCACAGACGTTTTCTTTTTCTCTTTATTTTCTTTGGGCGGGACTGATTATATAATACAAGCCCACTCACCGCCCTTGGCAGAAAAAAAAAGTCACGAAAAAAGACGAAAAAAAAAAAAAGATTTCTTAACAATGCAAGAAAGCAAAGAAAAGAAACAACATCCAGGATTGTGCGTTCTTCTTGTCTTCTGTTCAACTTGTCAACCTCCACGGGAGAATGTGAGGCGGCTTCCAAGAGCGTTTCTTTACCTAGAATAGAAGATGGAGGGCACTCGAGTGTTTGTGTCTGGGCTCCCGCCGTCGCTGACAAGTGACAAGCTGCGGAATCACTTTGCTCAGCGGTTCGAGGTTACAGATGCTCATGTTATTCCCAATCGGCGGATCGGTTTCGTGGGGTTCAAGGGACCGGATCTCGCTGAAAATGCCGTCAAATACTTTAATAAGACGTTCATCAACATGTCGAAGATATCCGTGGAAATGGCTAGACCTGTAAGTATTTCTGAACTTCCGTTCCAGAAGTGTCACATTGATTACTCGGTGTTTGGCTGTTGCGAGGCTAACAGGCCTTGAAGGACTCAATGGAAGAAAGCTGACCGCATCGTTTTCAAAGGTCGATGCCGATAACTCGGATGATTTACGTGCCAGGTATAGAAAACATTTAAATGCTAAGAAGGATCCCCCTTCTCTCAAGCGGAAACGTGACACACAGGATACAGAGGAGGATGAAAAACTGCAAGAATACCTGACTGCTATGCAGCCTCCAACGAAGTCTCGGACGTGGGCCGATAGCGGTGCAATTCCAACTGCACATCAAGAGCAGAAGCCTGCAACTGATGCTGCAAAGGAGCCCACTGAAGGCGAAGACGACGTTGAGATGCATAATGTTGAAACTGCAGTCACCGATATCCCCGTAACAGAACAAGAGGCCAAATCCGATGATGTGGATGCGGTGAATGTAAATGAGAATCCAGTACAACAGAACGACGATGACTGGCTACGATCTAAGACATCCCGTCTCCTGGGGCTCCTTGATGACGAGGATGAGATGGCAGCTGAAACTTGGAAAGGCAAGCCATTGGAAAATGCAACGGATCAGCCTCCGGTTCCTGCCAAAATTCCCAGTACAAAAGCTGCCGTTGAAGAGGGAGAGAGTGTGCCGGAGCCTCCTCCTGACGCTAATATTGAATCTATCCGACTCACCGGACGACTATTTATACGGAATCTACCTTATAATGCATCTGAGGATGATCTAAATGCCACGTTTTCTCGTTTTGGTAAAATTGAGGAGGTAAGATATCCCAATTCCCCCTTAATCCACCGTATAATCCACCCACAGTCTATATGATGATTATCCTGATAGGGACATCTGATGCTTTGCATATGATGTTACCAGGAAGAGTATTTTAGTAGATGCCTCTTTAATCTGATGACTGTATCCTTTCTTATTGCAGCTATCAACTATTGGTTTATGACATAAGATCAAAGCTAACTGAACCAGACTCATGTTGCTACAGATACTCGACATTCTACTAGCAAAGGTTTTGCCTACATTCAATATGTAGAAAGTGACGCCGCAATTGAAGCATATAAGCAATTAGATGGGAAAGACTTCCAAGGCCGTCTGATGCATATATTGCCTGCATCGTCAAAGAAAACGTATAAGCTCGATGAATTTGAGATCTCGAAGCTCCCTTTGAAGAAGCAACAGCAAATCAAAAGGAAAGCTGAGGCAGCTTCATCAACTTTCAGTTGGAATTCTCTATACATGAACGTTCGTCATCTCTTATGCTCAACCTCTTAATGTACGTCATAGCTAATGACTTGAACAGACTGATGCAGTAATGGCCTCCGTAGCAGACAGGTTGGGAGTCTCAAAGTCACAGCTTTTAGACCCCACCTCCTCGGATGCTGCTGTGAAGCAAGCTCATGCAGAGACTCATGTTATCCAGGAAACCAAAGCCTATTTCAGTGCTAACGGTGTTAACAT